GCTGAGTAAGCATATTGTTATCTCATGCACAACAGAAAATAAAGAATTAAAAAAAAAAAATGACACAGAGCACTCTGATTGGTGGATTACCGTGGGAATTAGGGAGTTATCTACCAAGCGGCTGCAAGAAAAGTCCAGAAATGCCGGAGTTCCGAAGTTGACGAAGTTCCGAAGTGTCTAAGATCCGAAGTGGTGAAGTGCCGAATTTCGGAATCCCGAACCGAATATTTTCCCCATGCACATGCCTAGTACTCAGCGGGTAAGGAAGAGGCAGAAACTGTGCCCAAAACTTTGACCAGTTTCCAGAGACAAGATAATGTGCATTGCTGGGACCAAGATAATATCTCAGATTTGCGCCAATCTGATCTGCCATCGATGGCTTCGAAAGCTAGTGGAGAGTTGCGAGACTGTAAGGGTATAGAGTGCTCCGATGCAAAAGCACAGTCTATAAACAAGCCTGTGGCCCCAGAATTAAGCAATGCCTGGGTTTTAATGAACGAATTAGGCCAGGAGAGGATAATAGGCACCATGGGTTTGTCCTCATATATCTCTGGGTCTGCAGAAAGACCACCCAAGATCTGCCAATATCTTGGGTACAGGCATTTTACTGGACGAATCGGGCAAGACTTTAACAGGTGACCCTGGTGTCCACAGTATAGGCACAGGCCCTCCCTCCTCCTAAAAGTTCTCTCCTCGACAGAGAGGTTTGAGAAGCCCAACCGCCTCGTTTTCACACCACGAGAGGACTCAGGGCCAGGAGGCATGGGAGGTGAGGGAGGCTTGGGTAGGCAAGAAAAGCTCAGTGCCAATTATACAGGAGGCCTCCACAGGAACTTTCTGAATGAGTATCTCTCTCAGAGTATGATATCAGTGAGGATGACAAAGGATATCAGTTCCTCAAGATCTTTAGGTAATTCTCTGGCTGCAATATCATCCTTAATAACATCGGAGAGCCCATGTGAAAAGGCAGCCACAAGAGTCTTGTTGTTCCAGCCACCCTCTGCTGCCATGGTACGGAATTCACTGGCATATTCGACAATTGTTCTTGTGCCCTGTGCATAAAACATGAGTTGTTTGGCAGCAGAGGTGGAGCGTGCTGGAATATTAAAAACCCTTTTAAAGGACGCAACAAATTCAGGGTAATTTTAAATAACGGGCCTCTCTCCCTCCCAGAAAGGTTTTGCCCAAGCTAGGGCTTTTTCAGATAGCAAAGAAATCATGAACTGGACTTTGCTTCTGTCTGTAGGAAATGCCTGGGGAAGCATTTCAAGGTATCCTCTAATCTGGTTTACAAATTCTTTGCACTGAGATGGGTTGCCCCCAAAATACTGAGGGAGCGGGACAGACCCAGTCATTCCTCTAGCCGCAACAGGTTTGGAGGCTACAACCGGTGTTAGAACAGGAAGTGAGGCAGAGGGTCTGGAGAGCCTGTGCACACTGGTCCAAATGGTGGTTCTGCTGGTCCCACCGGGTAAATAGGTTAGGTATAGGTGTATTGCCTGTACCATCTGGCTGGTTACTACTATCAGGTGAGTAACCGTGTCAACTTATTGAAGGAGCTGATCGTTAATCTCAGCTGAATACTCAGACACAGAAAAAGGAAGGGTTGCTGTTTAAAACAGCAAAGAAACCCTGACAGTAAGGCTGATGTAATGATGGGTTTGTGGAAAACTGTGTTTTATCTAAGTTTTTTGTTTGCTGCAGTGGGAGTTAAGAAAGAGAGATACGGACAATATGTGTCAGGATTACTGGAACCTAATCACACAGACAGAATCACTAAACGTAAATCCATATACCGGTACTTAGAATGGCCGGGTTTACGAATACACAGAGTCAGTAACAAGCCAAGGTCAAAAGGAGTAGAGAAGACAGGGAAAACGATTAAGCAAGCTGAGCTCAAAGGAGTACGGAGGACAGGATAAACGTAATACAAGAGCCAGTTAATATAACCAGATATCACAAGAGGAACGCGCTATTGGGCTACCAAAAACCACAACAGGGCAACAAGGAACGGGAGAGGTAAGTATAAATAGGCATCACCTACTTCTGATTGGTCCAGTTCCGCTTGGAATTGGCCACTGTTCATGGAAGGTACTTGACCTTCCTAATCTGACCTCTGACATCATTTTCATGCGCTCAATTCAGTCTACAGAATTCCGTGTTTGGTTATTCAGGCACACACTTATACACGTTGCTCACATGCATCGCAGTACCCGGAGCTCCGGCGAGAGGTAAGCGGACAGGAAGCCTGACAACATGAGCCTGCATGTCTTGAAATAAAATTACAACCTTTTGTATGAGATGTATTGCTAGTCCCCTGAAGGTCTTTATTACAGGTTGAGCACTATGATTCCCTTACATTATAGTTTCAGTGGAAGAATTTCAGACTGAAGATCAAACAATTCTCTTGGATGAATTCTGCATTAAAGGAACTATTGCCCCACCCCCATAATATTTAAGTTGTTTTGGGGACAGGAATGTCCAGGCATCAGCTTAACTTCAGAGATAAAGGAACACTCTAGGGTCAGGAACACAAACATGTATTCCTGACCCTATAGTATTAAAACCACCATTGAGGTGGCTTGCCCACTGTTAACTAACCTTATTTCCAACGCCGCTTCGGTCCGCCAGCGCTGGAAATAAGCCACCCCCGATCTGCCTCCTTGTTGACCTCATCAGTTTATGATTTTTAGCCAATCCAATGCGTTCCCATAGGGAAATTAGCAAGGAGGCAGGAGGGGGCGGGGCCAAACACTGACTTGGCCAATCAGCACCTCCTCATAGAGATGCATTAAAGCAATGCATTTCTATCCCATTGTACAGCGCTATGGAATTTTGCTGTCACTATATAAATAAAATAATAATAATAATGAGGAGAATTCAGCTTCTCCATGCAGAGCGTGGTGACGCTGAACATGAGTGCTGCCTCAGGAAGAACCTCCAGTGGCCACTGTAGGTGTCCCTAGGGGTAAATGTAAACACTGCCTTTTTTCTGAAAAGGCAGTGTTTGCATGAATATGCTTGCAGAGAATGGTTATACTCACCAGAACAATTGCATTGTCCCTTTACACCATTTTCCAGTTGTTAAACCTGGAGAGATGCTGAACCTTGGAGTTGTTCTCCAGTGCCTGACACAGGTGGCTTCCTTTCTCCCAAATGCCATGGCATCACATGAAATTCCTTTTAATTTCTCTGGCATGCAGATTTGTCAGCAGACTTTTTTGATGATGTCAGCAAGGAAATTCTTTTCATATACTATTATATTTTTCCTTTATGAAATGCCACAATAGTACCCCACAAAATAATGAAAATCTAATTTCTATACATTTTCCATTATAAATGTGTAATTTGATGTGTAGGACCAGTACAGGGAGTGCAGAATTATTAGGCAAGTTGTATTTTTGAGGATTAATTTTATTATTGAACAACAACCATGTTCTCAATGAACCCAAAAAAATCATTAATATCAAAGCTGAATATTTTTGGAAGTAGTTTTTAGTTTGTTTTTAGTTTTAGCTATGTTAGGGGGATATCTGTGTGTGCAGGTTACTATTACTGTGCATAATTATTAGGCAACTTAACAAAAAACAAATATATACCCATTTCAATTATTTATTATTACCAGTGAAACCAATATAACATCTCAACATTCACAAATATACATTTCTGACATTCAAAAACAAAACAAAAACAAATCAGTGACCAATATAGCCACCTTTCTTTGCAAGGACACTCAAAAGCCTGCCATCCATGGATTCTGTCAGTGTTTTGATCTGTTCACCATCAACATTGCGTGCAGCAGCAACCACAGCCTCCCAGACACTGTTCAGAGAGGTGTACTGTTTTCCCTCCTTGTAAATCTCACATTTGATGATGGACCACAGGTTCTCAATGGGGTTCAGATCAGGTGAACAAGGAGGCCATGTCATTAGATTTTCTTCTTTTATACCCTTTCTTGCCAGCCACGCTGTGGAGTACTTGGACGCGTGTGATGGAGCATTGTCCTGCATGAAAATCATGTTTTTCTTGAAGGATGCAGACTTCTTCCTGTACCACTGCTTGAAGAAGGTGTCTTCCAGGAACTGGCAGTAGGACTGGGAGTTGAGCTTGACTCCATCCTCAACCCGAAAAGGCCCCACAAGCTCATCTTTGATGATACCAGCCCAAACCAGTACTCCACCTCCACCTTGCTGGCGTCTGAGTCGGACTGGAGCTCTCTGCCCTTTACCAATCCAGCCACGGGCCCATCCATCTGGCCCATCAAGACTCACTCTCATTTCATCAGTCCATAAAACCTTAGAAAAATCAGTCTTGAGATATTTCTTGGCCCAGTCTTGACGTTTCAGCTTGTGTGTCTTGTTCAGTGGTGGTCGTCTTTCAGCCTTTCTTACCTTGGCCATGTCTCTGAGTATTGCACACCTTGTGCTTTTGGGCACTCCAGTGATGTTGCAGCTCTGAAATATGGCCAAACTGGTGGCAAGTGGCATCGTGGCAGCTGCACGCTTGACTTTTCTCAGTTCATGGGCAGTTATTTTGCGCCTTGGTTTTTCCACACGCTTCTTGCGACCCTGTTGACTATTTTGAATGAAACGCTTGATTGTTCGATGATCACGCTTCAGAAGCTTTGCAATTTTAAGAGTGCTGCATCCCTCTGCAAGATATCTCACTATTTTTGACTTTTCTGAGCCTGTCAAGTCCTTCTTTTGACCCATTTTGCCAAAGGAAAGGAAGTTGCCTAATAATTATGCACACCTGATATAGGGTGTTGATGTCATTAGACCACACCCCTTCTCATTACAGAGATGCACATCACCTAATATGCTTAATTGGTAGTAGGCTTTCGAGCCTATACAGCTTGGAGTAAGACAACATGCATAAAGAGGATGATGTGGTCAAAATACTCCTTTGCCTAATAATTCTGCACTCCCTGTATTTAGGATTGCCATCTTTCCCATTTAAATGATGACCCTTTACCTGTTTTCCCTCAAATAAAAAGACACTTTTCAGTTTAATAAAGGTTTATTTTTCACCAGCATTTCAAACTACATTTCAAGTAATTTTCATATAAAGCTGGAATAAAATGGAATATTCAGTATCACATACTTATCGAAGGTTGAAATTATTTTTACTGACTTTTATGATTGTATCACAGACTTTAAAACATAAGTCCACTGTTTGAGTTACTTTTACTTTAATGGTAAGTGATATGGTTATAGAGTGACAGATTCTTCAAAGCTTTTCTACAAATTACCAACTTCTGTGATTTACAGTATCCTACATATGTTTTTCTTTTTTAGAAACTAAACACACAATTTCTTCACTGTACCCTTAACAGAGAGTCACTGTGCATTCTCCTAAATGTTTGCTCCACATTTCTTTAGCATTGTTGGATGGCTGCTATACTATATATATATATATATATTGGAAACTGTGGGATCAATAGATGTTAGAAATGTGCTTAACTCAGATAGGCCACTAATTTTAAACACAAAGATACACCATATGTCACCATTTGAGCAGTTTGGACTCGTGTTTAATAAAGTCTCAACTTAAAATGCGAGTTTGTCACTATCAGAAAAGTACAGCAATATTCTGCCTAATTTCATTCACTAGACATATTTACAATTCAATTTTCAATTAAAGGACATGCTAATGATATATAAATCATATAACCAATTTCTGACAGTCTTGTACCTATACAAAATGCTAAAAATACTTAAGTGTGCTAAACAATTAAATAAGCAGATTTGTCCTGTCATTTATTCAATAGATTAGGCACATAAAATACTACAGAAATTGTTAAAATCATTACAAGCTGCTATGACAAAAATACATTTATCCTGTCTCTGCCCTCTCCTGTCTTGATAGCATATACTTAGAAACTATAATCTGAACTTACTCCTGACAAATTGGTATATGGCTAATACAAATGTTTACGTGATCTAGAGAATCAGTTATGTGCTGTATCCAACAAAAATCTTCATGTTAATCTGAGATGGTAGAAAACAACTAGAACAGTATTTGTTTTCTTTAATTCACATTGTATGCAAGTACTGTTATCAGTCCTTCCAACAAAATCAATTACAAATCTCATATATAACTGTTGTTACATTATGGGACATTGGCCTACAGAGTTTTGTAATTAGAGCATCACCAAAACCTCCCATATTGTTCATTGTTTGTGAAATACAGTGTTTTGTAATCTCTAAAGTACACTGCTAATTCAGGCTACATGTACATATTCATCAGCCTTGGCATGCAGCATGTAACATATTGTTCTGCCTTAACACTGGAGAGTTCTGAAACTACCAAGAGTTACAGTTTGTCCTGGCTCTGATAAATCAACAAGGACTTGAAACATGAATATTAAATAGTGTCCCAACCTTTGCATTATATATCTTAATATGCCATTGAATATTTATCTGTATGGCTTTAATCACAGATTAATTTTCTGTTCCTAAATTTAAAAAAAATATTTGGGATGGGATTTATGTGACACTAATTTAAGTTTCAGATAGCACTATCATGACTCCACATAGGCATTAAAATCCCTCATATGCAATTGATATGGCTTGTTAGACTTCGCCCTATGTTGTAAATAATGCCTACAGTGCTGCTGCAGAACAATACTGTTTCCAATAGTACTTATCTTATGGATTGAAACAGTGTCTTATCTCCTTATTAAGTGGGGTATATGGTGTTACCAACGTAATCCTTTCTATTTTGTCTCTGGCCCCTGCACCTGAAAGGGTTTCTTGTCGAGAAAGATTATCAACCTTCTGTCGTTGATTGTCAACTACATGTGTGGGATAGCCCCTCTCTATGAATTTATTGGCCATAAAATCTAAACCCGTCATCACTTTATCTTCCTGTGATACAATCCTTTTTACCCTTAACAGTTGACTAAATGGTAATCCATTCTTTAGATGGATTGGATGAAAGCTTGAGTAAGTCAATAAATTATTACGGTCAGCAACAGATCAGCAAAATCAGTAGGTTTTATATACAAGTCGCTATGAAGGCAATTTTGTACTCTCTGTACCTGAACATCTAGAAAAGGGACTGTAGTAGTATCACAGCACATAGTGAATTTAATGTTTTCATCTTGTGTGTTTAATGACTCAAAAAATTCCTGTAAATGGGCCCTAGTGCCGCTCCAACATATGAATACGTCATCTATGTATCTTTTCCAAACTATGCATTTCGAAAATAAAGGATGTTGGTAGATACATGTTTCCTCCATTCGATTCATATAAATGTTAGCATATGTTGGAGCGACATTCGAGCCCATAGCGTTACCCTTAATCTGTTTGTAATACTTATCACCAAACAAAAAATAATTCTCAGTCAAAATGAAAGTAAGTAATTCCCTGATATATTTTCGGGTCTCTCCTTGTTGGGTTAGTCTCGGGTCTCTATCCAATGTCCAATCTACTGCCTCAATCCCTCTATTGTGGTCAGTTGAAGTGTATAGTGACTGTACATCCATGGTTACCAACCAAAAGTCTCCTGGTGGTATATGTATATCTGCTAGTAATGTGAGGAATGTAGTAGTATCTTTGAGGTATGATTTCTGCAATGGGACATATTTGATCAAAAATGTATCCAGTATTTCTGCTGGATGTTGGAATATAGACCCAGTTCCACTGACTATTGGTCTGCCTGGTGGAAAAAGGGGGTTCTTATGTATTTTAGGGAGGGTATAGAACACCGGAATTCTTGGGTATTTGAGATTCATATACTTATATTCTCCATCAGAGATAATGTTTTTAGAAAGGGCCCATTGGTTAAGTTTATCTAGTATACGTTTCAGATTGTGTGTAGGGTCTTGACTGATAGGTAAGTAGTTTGTGTTATCCAATAACTGGGTCTCGATTTCTTTTACGTAATATGTGCGATCCATGATCACCAGTGCTCCCCCTTTATCTGCCGGTTTGATAATGATGGATGTATCTTTCTTTAAATTATTGATATTCAACCAATCTTGTTTGGTAAAATTAATACTTTTTCCATGATAACTATGGGTATATTGATGTTTTCTCCTAAGTTTATACATATCTTTTTTCACAAGATTGGTGAATAAATCAATAGATGTATTGGTGTTGTGTGGTGTGAAAGTGCTTTTAGGTTTCAAATCTGTATCCAGGGAGAGAACAGTGCATGGATCAGACCCGGTGACGTAATGTCCCACAGCCTCCATATTTCCTTCATCCTGTGGATATCCCTGTGTAGTCTGTATAGTATTGTCATTAGATTCTGCTGTTGTACCAAAATTTTGCTGATCTGTTGAAAAGAATGCACGTAATTTAAGTTGGCGAAAGAACATTTTGACCCCTTTGGGTCCGCTACCTGCCATCAGCACAGGGTTCCCCACACACGGGACCCAGGGGCACGGTGGGGCATTATGAGACAGGTGAGTTGCATACTCTGTCTTCTGTTTATTTTTGATTCTTTATTTTTATTTTATTTTCTATTCATTTTATTTTCCAAATTTTTTTTTCAAATTTAGCTACAACTAAAAAAATTTTTAATGAGGATCTTTTTCTTCATCCAATATATTTTTTCTATATTATTTTTTTAATTTTTCATTTTTTATCCTTTGTTCTTTGCACTTTTTCCTTCTTTTCTTTTTCTTTTTCTTTAAATATTTTTTGGAATTTTTTGAACACTGTTTTTCTTTGTTGCATGAAACATAGACAATCCATTTTTTATTATTTTTTCCTCTTTTTTCCTTTTTTAGCTGATTATTCTACTGATTTATAGCTACATATATTCCTGTTATCTTGATCATCTGTTACAGGTGAGCTACATAATAACCACACACCAGTTAGATTTATTTAGAAACATTAAATTATTATTTTCTGTTCCCTTTTTTTCTTTAGTTTATTTTGATTTTCTGGTCTAAGATTTTTTTAGATTACAGCACTATTTAGTTTTCACATACATTTCAATTGCCCTTGTAATAACTTTTATTACATAGTTATTAGTTGTATTTACTTTAATTTTTAATTTGAGATTACCCTTTAACTTTGCCATAATGCAACATGTATGTGAACAATAAAGTTGAGTTGAAGGCGTATGACGTAGCGACGTACGCTGATGTCAGAAGGCGGAAGTAGTAGCATGGAGTGGCCGCGGCGGATTTTTGCCGCCTAATGAGGATATTTAAATCGATATGCTTACACTTTGGCAGGACGGAGAGGAACAGGGGCCATCGAAGGGACAGGAACGTCCCGAGCGCGCAGCCCGATTACAGGATTGCCCACGATTATGAATCCAGGAAAAGACCTGTCAGACTGACCAGATTCCACAGAATAGATGAGTGATTACTTTCTCACCGAGCTACAACTCATTTTCACCCTCATCCAATATACATCATCTACAAGATCTACCACCCTCCTACTGAATATACTATCAAGTTTACGTATTTTTTGGTGAGATCCATCCATATACTTATGAATTGTATAGTGCACTATATTTTGGACTATTAATAGGACTGGAATATATATACATTTTTTCTTTTTTTCTTTTTTTCTTTTTTCTTTTTCTGCTTTTTTCTTTTTTCTTTTTCTGCTTTTTTCTTTTTTACTATTTTTTATTATTTTTTATATTTTTTCTGGACATTTCATTTCATTCATTTTTTGGATCAATAACCAGTGTACATAGATATATAGCTTATGAAATTCAACACAGGGAGGTTTTTGTGTGTATATATGTAAATAATCTATGTATATATGATTGGAATGAATTTCACTAAGGTTTACTTGATTAACCTATGAATTATTATTATAATAAATATTTTTGCAATTCAATACAAGTTTAGATTTCACTACAATCATTTTTTGAGTGCGGTATTCATATTTGTTTTTGGATCTAGATTAGGAGGTTGTTGTGGGGTTAAACCTTGAATACCTGCACCTTGCATAATTGAGTGCCAACACTTATTGTGGTTTTTTTTTTAAACGTAATACAAGAGCCAGTTAATATAACCAGATATCACAAGAGGAACGCGCTATTGGGCTACCAAAAACCACAACAGGGCAACAAGGAACGGGAGAGGTAAGTATAAATAGGCATCACCTACTTCTGATTGGTCCAGTTCCGCTTGGAATTGGCCACTGTTCATGGAAGGTACTTGACCTTCCTAATCTGACCTCTGACATCATTTTCATGCGCTCAATTCAGTCTACAGAATTCCGTGTTCGGTTATTCGGGCACACACTTATACACGTTGCTCGCATGCGTCACAGCACCCGGAGCTCCGGCGAGAGGTAAGCGGACAGGAAGCCTGACAATATGAGCCTGCATGTCTTGAAATAAAATTACAGCCTTTTGTATGAGATGTATTGCTAGTCCCCTGAAGGTCTTTATTACAGGTTGAGCACTATGATTCCCTTACATTATAGTTTCAGTGGAAGAATTTCAGTCTGAAGATCAAACAATTCTCCTGGATGAATTCTGCATTAAAGGAACTATTGCCCCACCCCCATAATATTTAAGTTGTTTTGGGGACAGGAATATCCAGGCATCAGCTTAACTTCAGAGATAAAGGAGCACTCTAGGGTCAGGAACACAAACATGTATTCCTGACTCTATAGTATTAAAACCACCATTGAGGTGGCTTGCCCACTGTTAACTAACCTTATTTCCAACGCCGCTTCGGTCCGCCAGCGCTGGAAATAAGCCACCCCCGATCTGCCTCCTTGTTGACCTCATCAGTTTATGATTTTTAGCCAATCCAATGCGTTCCCATAGGGAAATTAGCAAGGAGGCAGGAGGGGGCGGGGCCAAACACTGACTTGGCCAATCAGCACCTCCTCATAGAGATGCATTAAAGCAATGCATTTCTATCCCATTGTACAGCGCTATGGAATTTTGCTGTCACTATATAAATAAAATAATAATAATAATGAGGAGAATTCAGCTTCTCCATGCAGAGCGTGGTGACGCTGAACGTCAGTGCTGCCTCAGGAAGAACCTCCAGTGGCCACTGGAGGTGTCCTTAGGGGTAAATGTAAACACTGCCTTTTTTCTGAAAAGGCAGTGTTTGCATGAATATGCTTGCAGAGAATGGTTATACTCACCAGAACAATTGCATTGTCCCTTTACACCATTTTCCAGTTGTTAAACCTGGAGAGATGCTGAACCTTGGAGTTGTTCTCCAGTGCCTGACACAGGTGGCTTCCTTTCTCCCAAATGCCATGGCATCACATGAAATCCCTTTTAATTTCTCTGGCATGCAGATTTGTCAGCAGACTTTTTTGATGATGTCAGCAAGGAAATTCTTTTCATATACTATTATATTTTTCCTTTATGAAATGCCACAATAGTACCCCACAAAATAATGAAAATCTAATTTCTATACATTTTCCATTATAAATGTGTAATTTGATGTGTAGGGCCAGTATTTAGGATTGCCATCTTTCCCACTTAAATGATGACCCTTTACCTGTTTTCCCTCAAATAAAAAGACACTTTTCAGTTTAATAAAGGTTTATTTTTCACCAGCATTTCAAACTACATTTCAAGTAATTTTCATATAAAGCTGGAATAAAATGGAATATTCACTATCACATACTTATCGAAGGTTGAAATTATTTTTACTGACTTTTATGATTGTATCACAGACTTTAAAACATAAGTCCATTGTTTGAGTTACTTTTACTTTAATGGTAAGTGATATGGTTATAGAGTGACAGATTCTTCAAAGCTTTTCTACAAATTACCAACTTCTGTGATTTACAGTATCCTACATATGTTTTTCTTTTTTAGAAACTAAACACACAATTTCTTCACTGTACCCTTAACAGAGAGTCACTGTGCATTCTCCTAAATGTTTGCTCCACATTTCTTTAGCATTGTTGGATGGCTGCTATACTATATATATATATATATATTGGAAACTGTGGGATCAATAGATGTTAGAAATGTGCTTAACTCAGATAGGCCACTAATTTTAAACACAAAGATACACCATATGTCACCATTTGAGCAGTTTGGACTCGTGTTTAATAAAGTCTCAACTTAAAATGCGAGTTTGTCACTATCAGAAAAGTACAGCAATATTCTGCCTAATTTCATTCACTAGACATATTTACAATTCAATTTTCAATTAAAGGACATGCTAATGATATATAAATCATATAACCAATTTCTGACAGTCTTGTACCTATACAAAATGCTAAAAATACTTAAGTGTGCTAAACAATGAAATAAGCAGATTTGTCCTGTCATTTATTCAATAGATTAGGCACATAAAATACTACAGAAATTGTTAAAATCATTACAAGCTGCTATGACAAAAATACATTTATCCTGTCTCTGCCCTCTCCTGTCTTGATAGCATATACTTAGAAACTATAATCTGAACTTACTCCTGACAAATTGGTATATGGCTAATACAAATGTTTACGTGATCTAGAGAATCAGTTATGTGCTGTATCCAACAAAAATCTTCATGTTAATCTGAGATGGTAGAAAACAACTAGAACAGTATTTGTTTTCTTTAATTCACATTGTATGCAAGTACTGTTATCAGTCCTTCCAACAAAATCAATTACAAATCTCATATATAACTGTTGTTACATTATGGGACATTGGCCTACAGAGTTTTGTAATTAGAGCATCACCAAAACCTCCCATATTGTTCATTGTTTGTGAAATACAGTGTTTTGTAATCTCTAAAGTACACTGCTAATTCAGGCTACATGTACATATTCATCAGCCTTGGCATGCAGCATGTAACATATTGTTCTGCCTTAACACTGGAGAGTTCTGAAACTACCAAGAGTTACAGTTTGTCCTGGCTCTGATAAATCAACAAGGACTTGAAACATGAATATTAAATAGTATCCCAACCTTTGCATTATATATCTTAATATGCCATTGAATATTTATCTGTATGGCTTTAATCACAGATTAATTTTCTGTTCCTAAATTTAAAAAAAATATTTGGGATGGGATTTATGTGACACTAATTTAAGTTTCAGATAGCACTATCATGACTCCACATAGGCATTAAAATCCCTCATATGCAATTGATATGGCTTGTTAGACTTCGCCCTATGTTGTAAATAATGCCTACAGTGCTGCTGCAGAACAATACTGTTTCCAATAGTACTTATCTTATGGATTGAAACAGTTTGCCAATAGTGACTTAGTATAGCAAATTGTTTACAACTTTTCACAATAAATTTTTGTTTAGAAATGTTTTCTGCTATGTAGATTTATGAACAGCAGAATAAATAGACAGACAGAATGTATAGAAACAAAAAAATACTAAAATATTAAATAATTTAAGCAAATGCTAATTAGCCAGTCAAACATAGCAAACAATAATGCATCTTACAACATTCTAAATACATTCTGTTATTTTAGTTATTGCATTTTGCTTCTTTCTTCAATAGAAAATACATGTCTCGCTACAAAACCTCAGAATGTTTTTTGTTGTTTTTTTATGTATACCTTGAGAACATCGGTTTTAGGGAGAATTCTTCATTTAAATATATTAAAACAGATTAATTATTATAAAAATGTTTTAAAAAGTTAAATAGTAATTTTTAAACTTCTGGAAAATAATATAATCATTATATTTTATAAGAAAATTAAGCATTAAAAGGGCACCATAGATACAAATTTAATATACACGTTTTATAATTTTAAAACATTTAATTTACAAGCATTGCAGAATTTTCCATTAAATATGCTAATTAATTATCCTAATAAAATATCCTAATATTTATATTTTCAGCCTTTTAACAATAAAATAAATACATACCCATATATATATATATATATATATATATATATATATGCGCCGTTTGTTGTTTGTTTTGATAGTTATTGAAAAAGTTATATAAACACTCTCATTTCTGTTTTATAGCAGCTAGGAGATGTAAAAATTACATTAATGCTCTTTCATAGAGCTGAACTGAAATGTAGACCAGAGTTGATTATTTTCATAAGGCAGCTATTTTTACATGAGCAAAGCAGTCAGTGTTCTAAAACTCACTTTTAGATTCAACTATTCAACAATGTTTACTTATTCTTAAATGTGTGTGTGAAGGGGTGAGATGGGGTGCATTGTGTCCATAAGAGGACTGGTCTGAGGCTATATCAGTTTACATTTGCATATACTATGGTTAGGCATGATGATGGCTGTACAAAAACATAGCCTGCCAAAGTGATTCTACATAATGCATGAAATCTCTTGCCATATAATTATTTTTGTAAATTAATTTATCAGACAGCAATAAACCTAGTAAACTCGAAAACAATTGTGTTTGGGGTTTATGCAATGCAATACTGATAACAAAAAGTTAGCTTGTCACTATAAATACAAATATTACATATACAAATTATATTGACGTCCTCTTTGTAATTACATGATATATTCGATGTGTGTAAAATATCCAGAGCAACCAGGCAGCTAATTATTCCCTTTGTGTCAATTTTAAAATAGAAAACAAAACACTTTTGCAGATCCATGGTTGTAATCCCAATGATAATTGTTGTACCAGTTCTCTCCTGTTTGTGATATTCACGCTGTGCAGTATTTTTTCATATTGGTTCAGATTTAGCATGCTTTAACAAGCTGGGGAGCATCGTGAGAAGCTTTTGTTAGTGAAATTGTGTAAATGTTGGTGATCAAATTTCCCCAGCCACGTCGGAAAACACGATCAATACTCTAAAAAAAAAACACAAAACAAACAAAAACAAAAACTGAGAAAATATATCAAAATAAGAATATAAATATATCTTTAAAATTCACTTTTATTTTTCATCACATCTCCCAAACTAAGCCAATGATCTAAGCCCTTCACTGCTGGGCTATCTCAAAGCAGAGAGCTTCTAGCTCCCAATAGATGTATTGATCGTTGTGTGACTGACTATTTGACTACTTACATTGGGGGGTCGGGGTGCTGCACTAAAGTGATCTATAGTGATTATGGTCCTTGGGGTGTTCCTTTAAGTGGTAGCCCACAATTATACTATTGCTATGAGCTAACATTTTCCAGCCAGTCCTAGATTAACCAAGTCAAGGGAATGGATTCTAAATATCTCATAACGTTATACTGTAATGAAGTACACATTAAAGTGATTAATTTTAATGATATGACTAATGGATTATATAACTCTTCCTCATATCAAATTTCCCATAGACACGAAGTTCAGGATTCTGCAATTACACAACAATGCCTAGGCTGCATTTTTTCTTTTAGTTGTCGAGCTGCTGGTATGTGTTTAAATTTTCATCTAATAATAATAAAAGTTGATAATTACCCCAAAAAGCATTCAGCTATTTTATCATACTGTTAGTCATTTGTAAACTGAGTTTCCAAGATATCGGTGAATAAAAGACATCTGTAAATCAATTAAATTGTTCAGAACTGCATTTACACCTGTTTTTTTTTTTGTGGGGCATTCTAAAACTAAAATCATTATGAGGAACTATTCTTTAAATACATTTTTACCCACTGAAAAAAAACCCAGAGAAAATGTTTTCTCTATAAGAGCATATACATAACTAAATTGAGAATAATGTATTATCAACTTTGCCTTTAGACCTGTTCACCTGTATTGAAGAAACATTAAGTGATATTTTCACAGCAATACAAGCTAATAACATTGAATAATTTGACTTATCCAGTGGTCAAACTGACAATAGCTTAAGGGACACTAAAGGCACCCAGACCACTTCAGCTCATTGAAGTGGCCTTGGTGCAATGTCCCTTTTGCACTGCAAAGTTTATATAGTTGCATAACTGAAGAGAGACTTGCGTTCATCAAGTTCAGTCTTCCTCACATATGTTTTTGCTGTTGATCCAAAAGAAGGCAAAAAAACAAGGCAATGATTTTGAACCCTTTTTAAATATAGGAACGGCATCTGCCTTTCTCCAATCCTCTGGTACAATACCTGAAACAAAAGAATCTTGAAAGGTTAAATACAGAGGTTCACTTATTTCCCCACTTAGCTCCTTAAGTACTCGTGGATGAATACCATCAGGCCCTGGAGCTTTGTTTATGTTAACTTTCTTTAGTTGCTGCAGCACCTTGTCTTGAGTAAGCCAATTACAATTTCTCTGCATGTTTTTTGCAGCAATGATTTGCATATCTATTGCCATAGGTTCTTCCTTAATATATACGTAGGAGAAATAGTTATTCAACATTTCTGCCTTTTCCTGGTCTTCATTAACTAACAGACCCATTTCTGTTTCCAGTGTACCTACACTTATATTTTTTGTTTTTTTAGAATTGATGTACTTGTATGAAAACAGTTTTGGGGTTGGTTTTGTATTCTTTGGTTATCAATTTCTCATTTTCTAGTTTATCCACTTTAATTGCCTTTTTGTAAGCATTATTGACTTCCTTATATCTTATATAGGATACCTCTGATTTATCATATTTAAATGCTTTAAATGCCCTTTTCTTATTTTTAATCTCTTGTTTTACTGCTCTACTAAGCCACATTGGTTTCAATTTGTTTATTTTATATTTATTACTCAATGGTACATACTGAGAAATGTACCTTTCTAATATTTGTTTGATGAGTTTCCATTTGTTGTCTCCCAGACAGCCATTGGGGGTGCTTCTTGGATTGAAACAAACCTCCAGTATCCAACCTGATGCTCTGCATGAAGACACCCACCGTCAGATTTTTTCCCCATAGGAAAGTATTGATTTAATGCTTTCCTATAAAGAGATCTACTGCGCGTGCGACATTTGCTGAGGGTGGAGCGTCAACCCAGCGCAGAGGGACTTCAGTGCTGGTATAAGGTAAGTAAATAAAGGGTTTTAACCCTTTGACGCGGCAGGGGGAGGGGGTTTGCGAGAAAGGGGCAGGGGGAGCGATAGTGGCAGGAATACAACTATAGTATCCCATTAACCCCTTAAGGACCGTGGACGTACTAGGTATGTCGTCTCGGTCTCAGCAAATTAGGCCCCCACGGGCCATGTGATCGCTCTGAAAGAGCGATCATATGGCCGCAATAGGCATCCATAGTGCTGCATGCAGGGGGACTGCCTGAACAGATAGGCAGTCTCCCTGCATCTGTAAAATAAAATAAAAAATGTTTAGTAAATTAAAAAAAATATATATATATATGTAAATAATATAATATGTATACATATCTTACACTTAGTATGACATAATATATATTTTATATACATATATTAATATAAAAAACACTTATTAAATTACACACGTGTGTGTGTGTATATATATATATAATATAATTAATTCTAAAATATAAATAACTAAAACAAATTACAAAATGTAAATAGTTAAAATTTTAAAATTTTTATATATATATGTGTGTAATTTTATTCTAACTGTATTTTGATATTAATATATATATATATATTGATATCAAAATACACTTAGAATGAAATTATATATATAAATAAATTAATAAAAATAAACAAAATATATTGTATATATATTTATATAAAAATTCATATACATAATTACATAATTTCATAAATATACACATAGACTTCAAATATATATGTATATATATTTTCATTCTATGTGCATATTTATGTAATATTTTTACATAATTAAGTAATTTTATTGATTGCAATTTAAAGGACCTGCCTGACAACCCAGGCTGAAAGTCCAAAGAATTTAATTTGCTAGCACTGTATTTAACCCAGTAATTTACCATAACTCCTTAAAACCTGTACATGGGGGTATTTTTTTTTTACTTTGGAGACTTTGCTGAATATTAGTGTTTCAAAACAGTAAAACATATCACAGCGATGATATTGTCAGTGAAAGTGAAGTTTTTTGCATTTTTCACACACAAACGGCATTTTCACTGATGATATAATTGTTGTAATACGTTTTACTGTTTTGGAACACTAATATTTGTGTTCAGCGAAGTCTCCCAAGTATAGCAGTATCCCCTGTGTACAGGTTTTTGTGGTGTTTTCAAAAGTTACAGAGTCAAATATAAGGCTTGCGTTTCAGTTTTTTCACATTGAAATTTGCCAGATTGGTTACGTTGCCTTTAAGAGCGTATGGTAACCCAGGAATGAGAATTACCCCCATCATGGCATACCATTTGCAATAGTAGACAACCGAATGTATTGCAAATGGGGTATGTCCAGACTTTTTTAGAAGCCACTAAGTCACAAATACTGGCCAAAATTGTCATTCAAATTAGTTTTTTTTTTTTTTTTTCACACACAAACAAATAACACTAACTTTGGCCAGTGTTTGTGACCAAGTGGCTAATAAAAAGACTGGACATACCCAATTTGCAATACCTTGGCTTGTCTACTATTGCAAATGGTATGCCATCATGTGGGTAATTCTTATTCCTGGGCTTCCATACGGTCTCAAAGGCAACGTCCAACCTGGCGAATTTCAATGCTAAAAAACTGAATAATGTAACATGCTATTTTTGAACCTGTAACTTCCCAAAACCCATATCCCATAGGGGGTACTGTTTTACACGTGAGACATCGTTGAATACAAATATGTGTATTTTATTGCAGTAAAAGCAAACAGTATTGTGACATTCACAGTTAAAATGTCATGTAGAACTAAAAAAAAATAACAAAATGTATTTTCTCCCATTTTTTTATATTTTATTCATATTAAATTATGTTTCATAGCTAAATATTTGATGTTACATGAAAGCCCTGTTTCCCCTGAATAAAATTATATATAATAAGTGTGGGTGCACTTAATATGAAAGAGGTGATATATAGTCAGATATTTTGTTTTATTCCAGGTTTTGTTTACATTTTGTTTTGATCACAATGTGTACATTTGGCTCAGTCCTTAAGGGGTTAAAAGATTAACCATCGCCATTTTGAAAGTGCTATATTGCTGCACAATGCTTGAAAAACATAATTTTAAAAGGATATCACTTAAGATATGTATATTTAGTTGGTGTTAATTATGTATTAGTCCCACTTTATAAACAGTATTCTTACCTTTTTGTAGTTTTTTATCTTATTTCCCTTCTGCTTTTCTCCTTCATTTTCCACTTCTTCACGTTTCTGAGAGTCATTCCACTGCGTTTGTGTATTGATTGTGGATATTACAGGCTCTTGCCAAGAATCAGTACAATAGCCGTCCATTTCAGACACCACCTGTAGTTGACTGTCAGAAGAAACTGTTTCAGTTACTCGTGTCTTTGGAACCCTCAAACTTTTGGAACACCACTTTTTTCTGCAGTACTGCAGCTTGGGTGCATCTGTGATTAAAGGGACATCCCATGAAAAAAATGTACTGTCCCTGTTTCCAGGGGTTTCACAAAGACCAGTAAGGTCACCTTGACATTCTGTGTCTTCCAGTCTATCGTAAGTATCCAAGAATACAGCTGGTTTTGGAGAACGGGGTATCCGTACAGAGCATGCTCTCCTGAATTTACTCGTTGTCATGTTCTGTTCAGTTTTGGTAACAGCAAAGTCTTGAAGTATACAGCTTGTTTGAGCCGTAGTCTTTCCCTTCTTATTAAGATCTGCCTTTTAACAGCACATCAAAGAATGCTGTGGTATTTCCACCCTTCACAAATTTATAGTCCCGCCCTTGTTTTTTTTTTTTTTCCAATGCAGTTGGTAAGCTAACTTTACAGCATTTTGAACTGACTGCAAATATTTAGGTGCCTGAAGTTTAGTATATTAATTTCTTACTTGCCAGCTAATCATAGCTATTAATAAGGGCCAGGACCACTTGAGATTACAAGCATAGGATTTTGCCTCTCCTCAGTATTTGTCTTTTTTAGTTTTGTCCTTTCTAACTTGTTGATCTTTCTCCCTTCCTTTTCAGTTGGCACAATGTGTCTTGCTGACTGGTGAGTGGTAAAATTTTACCTTTTCTGTCCCTGCACATAGTTACTTTTATAAACAGAAACTGACTAAGGAAGTGACTGTTTCTTTTTTGCACTTTGCATTCCTTCTTTCCAGTCTCTGCGATTATTAAGTTTAGAGTAATTTTCTGAGTCACAGCTTTGGATGTTGTAACTTGAGGAGTGACAAATCACCTCCACATTTACCTGTTCCCTGGACTCAGCTTATCTAGTGCTGACATAGCTGAGCAAAGGTTGCCAGTGCCTGGAACACAGAGCAAGGTAGGAGGGGGACTTGGAGGCTCTAGGCTAAATCCTGGCTGCCAACAATATTACAGTCTGTAAAAAATTAATTTCTATTAAAGGAACACTACAGCGTTAGGAATGCTATAGTGTTTATATATATATATATATATTATATATATAAAAACACTATAGCATATAAAAAACTATATATGGTGGGGAAAGTCATGGTGGGAAAAAGTGAATGAAAACCCCTTCCACCTGAAGTATATATACTAATAATTCAACAAGGTGTGCACCACATATGATGGTGCAATTAGTAAAAGCAATTTACCCTTTAAAGAAATAGATTGTGAAAAGATGCCTCTTATCTTCTGTATCATATATGTAGCTATACAATCTAAAAAGAATTACAAACAAGAAACACAAAATAGTGTAATATTGTCTTTCACCAAAACAATGAATCTATGTACGTATTGCACTCACAAAAGTACATATAATTCAGGCATGTAGTAAGATATTAGTGTACACGTCCTTCTTGCAGCATCCTTTCGCTTATTGAATACATAAGGAAAAGGGCAAAAACATAGTGTAGTATTTTTAACACAAAAAAACACTTTATTCAGGTTAAACTCACGAGATAAAAGTTCATGTAAGGCACATCAACAAACTCCTGCTGTCCAACACGAGGTAGTGGTTCACAGGAACAGAAGTGCAAAAAAACAAAACAAAAGATAAACAAAGCAATAAAAACTATGTATAGTCCCAAAGCCCTACGCGGTTCATCCTATCGCTGACTTCCTCAGGGGAATCCGAAGGGACTGTGCTGAAATCTCCTACTGCCAAGTAAATATCCGAAATTCGCGCCGTCCTGATATCCAATCAACCAGCAACTTCGTGTAGATCCATCTGAGATTGCTGATTGCATCTCAGACCTCGTTTTCGATCCGACGTGTGACATACTTCCGGGGACACAGGAAACGTTCTATGCGTTCCACTTGATATGGTGACTCACTTCCGGGTGAATAGCGGACGCTGGTATTGAAATTCTACCAGAGATCTGTCCATAGTTGTCCATACATATAAAATCTAACAGCACTCAATATAAAATACAATTAATAAATGCATAAAAAATATATAAAAGATAAGAAAGGAGATATGTATTAGTAAATAAGAAATTAAGGCATACAATAACTATCATACTAAAAAGATATTTCTTATACTCATACAATAATAATATAATAAAGATCATACCTAACACCATATTAAAACTAATATTGCAAAACTGTAAAAAAGGTGGAAAAGAAATATACTTAGTGATATAAAACCTCTCGCAACATCATTGTTGAGAAGTGACGTCCTCCAGCGATAGTCCAACCCAATGCTCCTCATTGAAGACACGATGCGCAGTGATCCAATGATACTCATAAGAAAGCATTGCATCCAATGCCTTCCTACAAGCTGCAGCACAGATGACAGAGTTTAACTTTTCTGCAAAATATCAGTGTTTTGCTTTGAGGGTCAAGCTTACAGGAACACTCACCCAGGCCATTTCACTGAGATGATGTGGTCTGAGTGACTCTAGTGGTCCTCCAATATTGGCTGAGCGACAGGCAGATTGTAGTCAATGGAATATATCTGAAGCAATGTCTTGTTATCAGTGGGGTACCTCAGGGATCCATACTTATACCTAGTTTCTTCAATATTTATATTAGTGATATTGCAGAAAGTCTTGATGGTAAGGTATGTCTTTCTTCTGATAATTCAAAGATTTGCAACAGGGTTGATGTTTCAGTATGAATAAGCCAAATGGCAAACGATTTTGCTAAACTAGAGAATTGGTCAGAGCTGTGGCAACACGCATTTAATGTGGATAAGTGCAAAGTAATGCATCTTGGGTGTAAAAACCAAGGGCAGTGTATAGCAAATTTGATACAGTCCTAACCTCAACATCTGTGAAAAGAGATTTAGGGGAGAGTATTTCAGATGACTTCAGGGGCAGACTGACCACCTGGACAAATCGGTCATGGACTTAGGGCCCGACACAGTCAAGGACCCGGCTGCACAGTCATGCTCTGGCTGGGGAGAAACCAGAAAATTTAATTAATCATATATTACAGCAATAGTTTGCTGGGCTCCAGCAACCTATCGCACTGTAAGTGATCCTACCTCCCTTCAACTCTCCTTTCCACTTTCCCCATTCTCAGTGAGACCAGGCAGCAATTATTATTATTATATTTATATAGCGCCAACAAATTACCTAGCGCTTAGTTCTGAATGGATCTCCTCCCCCTGTGCGGTGCTCAATGTGTGAGGGGGAAGAAGTGGGGGTTGGGAAGTGATGTTTTCTTGCCCTCTCCTGCAGAGCACTTGGAAGGTAAGGAGCTACAGCAACTTGGCAGACAATACAGGTAAGCTCCTTGTGTAGTTGTAGATTGGTGTCAGGGCAGTGGCGTACCTACCACAGTCGAAGGGGTAGCAGCTGCGACCATGCCCCTCACTGCAGGGGGGCCTGGCCGCAGCCACGACCCCTGTGACCTCGGTCCGCTTAGATGCCATGTCATAGGGGGGCCCTAGAGGAGGCCCGCTGGCCACTTTACAGACCCCCCTGGTGGTCGGTAGAGTTCCTGTCTGACGAGGCGAGGGAGCTGTGATCTCTCTGCTCCCTCACGCGCCCTCTGCTGATGCCGGCAGGAACTCTGCCACCCACCGGACTGAAGCCCCACTGGACACCAGGGACAGATCCATGCCAGCTCTGCAGGTAGGGAGGCTGGGTGGACATTAAATAATAATTTGTGTGTGTCTGTAAGTGTATGTGTTTGTCTGTGAGTGTGTGTGTCTGTAAGTGTGTGTGTGTCTGAGTGTGTGTCTGTAAGTGTATGTGTGTCTGTGAATATGAGTATGTGTGTGTGTCTCTACATGTGTCTGTATGTATGTGTCTGCATGTGTGGGGGGTGGGGATGTGTGGGGTAGGAGGTAGATGTCTGGGGGGGCCCAGGGCAATTTTCGCATCAGGGCCCCGTGGTTTCTAGTTACACCTCTGTGTCAGGGCACAAGAACAGAAAAATATTGTATGTTTAAAAAATGCGAGTTTAACTCTTTCAAAGCATGAGAATCTTGTATTATAATTTGGCCTATTGAACATTTGATCTTTCAAGCTATGTATACAGTAATACTTTAGCTACGTAATAAGAAATGAAGTAGAAAGGACATGAGACTGATGCTCTGTAACATAGAATGTATAGTTCTGTATGTCTAGGGGAATATTCACTAAGCATTGCATAGGTGAAACATTTTTTCCCCCCAACAGCCCCTGAATAACCTAAAGGACCACTATAGGGTCAGGGACACAAATGTTACATAGCTGAAAAGAGACTTGCGTCAATCCTTGCCTTTCTCATATATGTTTTTGCTGTTAATCCAAATGAAGGCAAAAAAAACACAGTCTGAAGCACTTCCAATTTTGCAACAAACTACAAAAAAATCCTTCTTGACCCCAAAATGGCAGTCAGATATCTCCTTGGATCAAGAAGCTATTACTCTACTAATTGGAAATTATATCCCTAAATATTATATTTTTGCAAGTATTTATCCAATTGCGGTTTAAACATCTGTATGGACTCTGATAAAACCACCTCTTTAGGCAGAGAATTCCACATCCTTATTGTTCTCGCTGTAAAAAAAAACTTTTCTTTGCCTTAAATCTCCTTTCTTCCAGCCTAAATACATGACCTAGGTGTGTCCTATGTATAGCCCTGTTTATGAATAGATTTCCAGACAATATATTTATATAATGTTATCATATCACCTCTTAGGCGCCGTTTTTCCAAACTATAGAGATTTATATTTTCATAACTAAAATGCTCCATTCCTTTCTATCAATTTTGTAGCCCGTCTCTGCACTTTTTTTAGTGCCATGATATCCTTCTTTAGAACAGGTGCTCAAAATTGCACAGCAAGCAGTGGTGTATCCTGGTTTTGTGCTGCCCTAGGCAGGACAAAACTCAGGCGCCCCCCTCCCCCCATGCCACCCCCACCCAACCCTTCCCCCCGCCCCACCTTCTAAATACACACACACACAGTCAAACACACACACACACACAGTCAGAGACACACACAGTCAGACACAAACACAGTCAGACACACAGTCAGACACAAACACACACAGTCAGACACACAGTCAGACACAAACACACACACACATACACTCACAAACACAGTCAGACACAAACACACAGTCAGACACACACACACACACAGTCAGAGACACACAGTCAGACAAAAACACACACACACAGTCACACACACACAGTCACACACAAACACACACACTCACAAACACAGTCAGACACAAACACACACACACACTCACAAACACACACACAGTCAGACACACACACACATTAACTTTTTTTTTAATTTAAATCCCCCCCCCAACCTCCATACCTTTGGGAGTGCTGGGAGGGGGTCTCTCTCCCTGGTGGTCCGGTGGTCTATTGCCTGCAGGTCGGGGGTGCGGCGAGGGAGCACTTCCTATGAGCTATCTGCTCAGCTCCCTCGCGCGCCGGCTGCAGAGTGAGGCTACTACAAAATACTGCATTTTGAATACCTTGGGTTGTTTACATTTGAAAATGGTATGCCATGATGATGGGGTTATTTCACATTCCTGGGCAACCATATGGTCTCAAAAGGCAACACAGACCCAGCAAACCAATCTGGCAAACTGAATTGGGCATGCCATATATTGACTGTGTGACTTTGCAAAACACCATAAAACCTGTACATGAGGGGTATTGTTATACTCGGAAGACTTCACAGTAAAACTTATCACGAAGATGAAATCACCAGTAAAAGTGCAGTTTTTGTGTAAAAAAAAAAAAAAATATGAACTTAGGCAAGCGTTTGTGGCTCAGTGGCTACTACAAAAGACTGGACATACCCCATTTTGAATACCCATGGTTGTCTACTTTTACAAGTGGTATGCCATGATGGGGTTAATTTTAATTCCTGGGCTGCTATATGGTCTCAAAGGCAACATAGGCCCAGCAAACCAATCTGCCAAATTTCAATGTGTAAACATGGAAAAGGGGAAAGCCCTACATTTGACCCCTGTAAGTTTGAAAAAAACAAAACATAAAACCTGTACTGTTGTACTCATATTGGGGTGTTCTTTGTCAGTAACACATAACAGGATCTGAGAATCCATGCCTAAAGTACAATGTGAGAGAAAACTAACAAAAAAAATTACTACCCAAAAGTTTGACAAAGACTGGTAGTAGAATTAGTGCATGGAAAGTGTTAAAATACCACCATTTGAAATACCCTAGGGTGTCTACTTTTCAAAAATAAATGGTTTAATGGGGGTAAATTACATTGTCCAGCTTCAAAAATGTCCCATATTTGACATGGGTGCATGATGACCAGCTGTGAAAATTCCAAGTTGGAAAACTGGAATGCGCACCCTCCAGATAAGGTATTTTAGCCCCCATAGAACCCGACACATATACATGTGTGGTATCACTGTACTCAGAGGATGTTGATGTTGCTGAACACATATTGGGGTGTTCTTTGGCAGTAACCCTTAAAGTTCTCAGTACACATTAAATTGCTATGTGTGTAAAAAGAAAAAAAATCACCAATTATAATTTTTTTATTTTAGATTGGTGATAAAATGGTTGCATGAAAAGAGTCAAAATACCCCAAGTTTAATACATTAGGTTGTCTTCTTTTAAAAAAATATATACATGTGAAGGGTTAATTAGGGATTCCTGAGAGACATCAGTGTTACAATGAACTTAATGTTAATTTTGAAAAAAAAATGGTTTGGAAATAGCAAAGTGCTTCTTGTACTTATTGCCCTATAACTTACAAAAAAAAAAAGCTAAGAACACAGCCTCTGGGTGTTTTTTGACGGTTGTAGATGCGTAACAGATTTTGGGGGTCAAAGTTAGAAAAAGTGTGTTTTTTAAAATATTTTCATCATCAGTTTTGTTATAGTAAATTATATGAAATGATGAAAATAATGGTATCTTTTGGTAGAAAGACCATTTATTGGCGAGAAAAACAGTATATAATATGTGTGGGTACAGTAAATGGCAGTATTTCTAAACTGAGGACAACATTTAGAAACTTTTTATGGGTGTTTTTTGACGGTTGTAGATGCGTAACAGATTTTGGGGGTCAAAGTTAGAAAAAATGTGTTTTTTTAAATATTTTCATCATCAGTTTTGTTATAGTAAATTATATGAAATGATGAAAATAATGGTATCTTTTGGTAGAAAGACCATTTATTGGCGAGAAAAACAGTATATAATATGTGTGGGTACAGTAAATGAGTAAGAGGACAATTACAGCTAAAAACAAACACTGCGGAAATGTAAAAACAGCCCTGGTCCCAAACCATAAGAAAAGCGGTCTGGTCACTAAAGAGTTAAATAAATAAAGTATAGTGCATGCATGAAATATACAATACTCAACTAGCACATTTACCTATAAAGTGCAGTGCAAGTGCTGCACACACATAAAATTTAAAAATGGTAATTACTCCTTTTCAAATGACACAATTTGTAGATAAAAAGGATTCCTTAACATATAACCAAATAGAATATATCTACGAACGATTATACAAAGGCCCCCCAGGAAAAAAAAATGATAAAAAACATAGTGATATACTTTTAAATATAAAACACACTGCTTTATTATGATACACTTACAAGATGTGAGGAGTTAAAAAGACCATCAACAACATCAGAGGATCTGGAAAAAAAGGTGCAAATATCACTAAGCTGGTAGCCTTCCTCTCCAAATAGATGTGTATGAGGGATCAAGATATTAAAATAAATAAACAGGGAAATAACAAACAAATAAAAAGCAATAAAACGTGAAGCGCAAATCATTAGGCTTTACGCGTTTCATCTGATAAAAGACTTTCTCAGGGGAAAATAAGGTGCAGCATAGTCTCCATCATAAAACTGAACTGTTTTTACATCTTATAAAATGCACACTCGGACGGCCATTAGCCAATCCAAATTAGTTAAAAGAGAGTTAAGTGTGTTCACATTTAGCACTTTATTATTTATTTGTATGAAGTTTATAAGTGGGTGTACACTAGTGTTTTGCACTTTTACTGTTTGAGTGCATTGTGTTTTTTTGCACTACCCTTTCTCACCTTAAAGGCATAGTGCACTTTTTTTATAAGAGTGGGAATACTCATGAATGATATTTAATACCCCAAGTTTAGTTTTGTTTTGTATAATAATGTAGTGCATTCTAAGGAGAATGATACTGCATATTACTGATGTCAGATGTAGGTGCTTTGTTAATTATATAACAAGTTTGTCAAGAAGCCTAATTGGCTGTGAAGAACTGACAAGAGAACAGTAGGCCAAAATTGCAACAACTAAATAGTAAATATGTTTCAATATTATTAATACAACTTGCATTTCCTTTGTCAGTTCTTCACAATTCCTAGTCTAAAGAATAATCATGTTGCATTAAAAAATATATTCTTCACACTTTATTCACTAAATAGCACAAATAATTATATTATAAAACATGTACATGTACAGTTTCTTAGCTTCAAATTCAATTAGCATCTTAACTTTCTTTTTAAGAATTTATTTACTGAGTTTAAAACTCATACTGATGCAAGAATGAAATATTTGAAGCCAGCAATTATCTGGGTATAATTATATATGAGTGGCTGGGAGTGTAATGGAAGCTATGACGTTTTGCATTCCAGAGGTATGAAAAACTGTTGTCTCACCCAAACTTTCATGATGATCAGAAACACATGTGTAGGTTAAGTGATGATGATTCGGTATTGAGTAATTTATGTAAATTCTGTACACACCAGCAATGGAGATGACTATAATTAAGGTTTCCTCTTTATTAAAAGCTCACAGTGTCACAGTGGGTCTTTTTATCTTTTGCATTTCTGAAACATCATTAGGAACATTGTGTAATGTGTATGAACTATTCATCTCAATAACACACAAATAAAAAAGAAGGGGGCGAAAAAACAGCTTGAACGTGTTTGCAGGAGTTCCCTCTCTTGACCTAGACTATTTTTGCCTTACTGATGCCTTTTTACCTCTGGCACTTTTTTGGAGGACGCTGCAATAGTGCTTATTCTCTGTGGAGTCTGATGACCCCATACTGCCTTGAGCACCGGCCCAAATGAACCTTAGGTGGCTGTATATGTTCCTTCTCCCAACCCTCAGATGGCGCCACACTCATAACACCCCCTTAACTAACATTGAGAGGTTTAATGGAGTGCCTGTCTCACAGTGGTTCTTTTTTCTGCCCAATTACTGTTCTGCTTTTGGTTGGGCAAACCCTTTGTTTTCTCTTAGTTATATTTTTTCCGTTAAGTGCCTCCTTTTTGTATACTTAATGCATTGATCTATTTAATGTATTGATCCTTGTTTTGTTCTCCTGAGGTCATTTTGCATACTACAACATTGGTGACCAGTTTTTCTAATCAAACCTGCAACTCATTCTCCAGTCATATAAAGATCTGAAGCTAGACTCATGAAAAAAAAAAAAAAACATGCCACCCTCTCTAGCATCATTTAACAAACATTCTAATACAATTTCATCAATGCCTCATTCTCTCACTCTACTCCTCCATCATCTTCCTCGGATTGGCAAGATAATTTTAAAAATCGATCTACCAAATGTGTCTTCACCCATAAGCATGCCATGTTAGATAAAAATATTGATGATGGTTTCTTAAGACTATGACAAGCTATCAATGTCATGGTCGACAGGGTCTCTACCTAGCCATGGAGTTCACCAAGAAGAAACAAACCTTGCAGAAGCTCCAATTCCACTCTACCCACATTGCCTTGCATCCTAGAGCAGTGGTTTCCAAACAGTCCTCATAAATCCAGAATTTATGTATCTCCATGTTTTATTCAAGGGGTTCCCAACCTAGTTCTCAAGTACCAGTTCAGGATTTAGGGAATAAGGAGAATCCTCCAGGGAGACCTATAGTTTCTGGTATTGGGTCAATCTCTAGTAGACTGTCCCAGTATATAGACAAATGTCTACAACCTATGGTCCAGAAATGCCCCAGTCAGCTTAAGGACTCCATGGCGATTTTAAACAATTGAAAGGATTGGGAGGAAGACTTTTTCCTTGTCACATCAGATGTCAGCTCCCTCTATACCAACATATCACATGGGAGAGGCTGTGAAGTGAAATATTTTTTAAATCATTTTGAAATGTTTCCTCAGGTACAAGTGGATTTTGTCTTAAAAGGGATTTTATGGATTTTAACTAACAATTATTTTTGGTTTAAGGACCAATTTTACCTACAGACTTGTGAAATGGCGATGGGCACCAGGTTCGCCCCGAGTTATGCCAACCTTTTCATGTCCCATTGGGAACACACTTTCATATATGGGAATGAGGGTTGGAGGGCGAATCTAGTGCTATATCGCCGTTACATTGATGATATATTTTTTTATCTGGAGAGGAGATGAAACTTCTTTGAACACTTCTTTAACATTTTTAAACTCGACCGGTCTTATAAGTGAGTATAGTAAGACATTGGTGAATTTTCTGGATCTGAACATCTATACAGAATGAAATGCTATCAAAATCTGTACATATTTTAAACCAGTTATATAGGTGAAAGTAGCTGTCACCTATCCCCATGGTTACAGAATGTCCCCAAATCACAGCTATTAAGAATAAAGAGGAACTGTACGGAGGATGCTCTCTTTGAAGAACAAGCACAGAAGATCTTAAATGATTTTAGAGATAAAGGCTACAGGGAAGAAATCTTAAAGAAAGCATACGATGAAAATCAATAGATCATCCCTCTTAAAATATAGTTAGAAAAATCAGAATGAAGAGAACAAAGTAGCCTTGATTTGTGATTTTAACTGTAGAAGCAACATTTTTAAGAAAATAGTAAGCAAATATTGGCCGTTACTACGAGAAGACAAAGCACTTAACGAATGACTCCCAGAACAACCTCTAATAATTTTTAAAGGGGTCCCTAATCGGAAGAGAAACCTAACGCACAGCCACATTAGATCTTGTTGGAGAGTCAATACTTTTAAGGAACCACCAGGATTTTATGGGTGCGGGTCATGTATTGCCTGTAGTAGCACCAAGAACAAAAGGAGATACTACAGGGAATTTAGTAAACCTTCAGACATAACAGAAAAATATCAGATCTAACATGCCACTCTAAAAAAGTGATCTATCTGATCACATGCTCTTGTGGCATGGGATATGTAGGTAGAACAGCAAGGCCCCTTAAAACTAGGATACAAGAGCATGTGAGAAACATTAGGAATGGTTTTACCAAACACACTATCAGCCCATTTGAAAGAAAAACACAACCAGGACCCTAAGGATTTGGATTTTATGGGGCTACAGTTAATCAGGACCAACTGGAGGGGTGAAGATCTAACTAGAAAAATGGGACAGTGCGAGATGCGCTGGATTTACAATTTAGAAACCCTGCCCCCAAAAGGTCATAATAATGACTTTGAATTATGTAATTTTCTTTGATGAATAATATGGCACTATTAGATTACTACCTTATGATAGGAATACTAATTTTACATAAGACTACAATTAATATATGTGTGCAGCTATTACCATGAGGGAAAATGGAGTATATATGTTGTTTTATTATACAGGATATTAATATGGTGAGGAAGATAGGAGTTTGAAGCCACACTTGGGGGGTTAATGTATTTATACCTTAACATTATGTATGATCCATTATGAGATTTTAATATGAAGATGGTTATTAGTGAATTCTCATATATATTTTTCTTTTAGCCCTCCATTTCTGTTTCCTCCGTGCGAGTGATTGTGTTATACCACCAGGAGAGACACGGTGGACTACATTTCCCGGCGGGTATTGGGAGTGAATGCAGAAGTAACGTATAGCCGAATAGGTCACTTCCGGTAAGGAGCATTGCGTAGGGGACGCTCTCAATCAACATGGCCGCAGGTGAACCGGAAGTGACTGGGAGGTAAGCACCGTTTACATTTCCCGCTTGGGTAATTGATTAAATAATGATATGACTATCCAGACTGGACAATTAAGATTCAAATGGACCAATGGGATGAGGCAATATGGTATATAATAGACAGAAGGAAGCAGGAAAATGAACAGACCTACTGAGGAATCCCAGCGATATGGGTGAAACGCATTTCGGCGAAGGAGCTAATGTGGACATTACTTTGATTATTTTATATATATTTTTTGTATTTTAAGCATTTTAGCTGAATTTTATTATTTTGTTTATTATAATAAAAGTACTTTTTTAGTCCATTTTGGCTACCTTCACTTCAGCTTCTAACCAAGTAGGGTGGTGTCCCCTACACAGGCACCTAAGCGATTTTACCTAGAGCCAGGTTATAAGGGCTCTATAAAAGGACCATTTCCTGTAAGACTAGAGGGTAAAGTGCCACCAGACGGCACAGAAACGAATGTGATTTGAGCCTGTCCTAACATAGCCTCTAATCTATTTGAGTTGAACTCATTTATTTACGACCATTTGAAAATTTCATCTTACAGTATTGTACTATGTGATTTTCCCCGTTTATCTCTCTTTTCATATGAATTACATGCTATACCCACATTATATGTAAGTAATATCATATATATCATTCGAGCGCTCCACTTTAATATATGCCCATAGAGAGCTGTTTATCCAATATAGAGCATATATAAACTTTTTTTTTCACTATTTGAATGGTTATAGGGGGTGAGGGAGACTCCCCCTAGAGTGTGAAGCGGCTACTTAAAAAATATACACAAAGTAATTAGAGGCGCACTAATCACGGTTATTTGGTACACGATTTCTATTATTTATTATATTGTGCAGGACATGAAAAGTGCTGCCCTTGTTGACTTTTAAAATCACTACTGGTGAAGCATCACTTTTCACACCCTGCACATCAGTTTGCTAAAAGATGTTATTTGTTTTTTGGACAAATAGGTTGTATTTTTAAATGCTGTTGTGAAAAGTGCTGCCCTCAGTGGGTTTGAAACCCACTGTACTGATGTGGCAACACTTAATATACCCTGCACAACTGTTGCTTAAAAAACAATTCTAACGGTTTTGAGAAAAAATGTTGTGCAGGACTGAAAAGTACAGCGCTGTTCACAACATGGAAATCAGTTTGCTAAAAGTTTGTAATTTCCCTTTTCTTTAAAATCATATATTTTTATTTTCATTCTGCTGTGCAAGTCGTAAAAAGTGCTGCCATTGGTGACCTTTAAAACCACTGTATTGTTGTGCTTGCAATTTATATGCCCTGCAAAACAGTTTTTAAAATGATTTATGCTGCCTTTTCTTTAAACATTGGAGAACACAGAAACATAGCTTTTATACAAAGGCATGGACAAACTTTCTGAAGAGATATACAGAGGCAGGGGTGTATCTAGGGCATTTGGCACCGAGGGCGGATCCTGTGTTTGGCCCCCTCCAATCAGCTCCCCCCTCCCCCTAGTTCCAGGCACATGGGCACTCGCACACAGTCACACATACAATTACAGGCAGACAGTCACATGCACACTGTCACACACAGACAGTCACAGGCAGACACTCTCACACACACAGTTACAGGCAGGCAGTCATACACAGTTATAGGCATTCAGTCTCACACACACCGTCACAGGCAGGCAGTCACACACACACAGTCACAGACAGTCACACATACACACACACAGAGTCACAGGCAGTCAACACGCACACAGACACACACACACTCTCTCTCTCTCTCTCTAACTTACAAACAGTGTGATCCATTGAAGCTCCTAGAGTCTGTTAGATGGGGAAGCAGAGACTTCATCCTGATTACCCTCGATGTTCAGCAGTAACAGCAGCGGGTGAACGCTGTGTTTAGCTCTGCCCCTGCTGCCAATTGGCCCCGCCCCCATTTGTTTTCCGATGTGGCCAGTTTTGAAGTTCTGCGGCTGCTTGCGTGTGAGCTGTGCGGCTGCCATGGCAACCTGTCATACAGCTTAGACATCCTAAGGCCGCCCTGGTCATGACACCCTCCTAGTGAGTGGCGCTCAGGGCTGCCTGCCCTCCCTCCGTACGCCACTGTACACAGGGCCGCCCCCCCCGTCATCCATGTATGATGTGATGTTTGTGTTGTCTGTGTATGTGATAGTTCTGATGACTGTGTGATATGTATGCTAGGTGTTGGATGTGTGTGATACTTGTAATGGGTGTATTAACAGTGTGTGATATGCGTGTATTATTTGTATGTGATATTTGTGCTGGGTTTATTGCCTGTGTGTGATGGTTATTTAATTCAGATAAAAACATGCATTTAGGCCTGTGTGTAAGAGTTGCAGAGTTATGTGCACACAGTCCCACAGTCAGATGCACACATTTATACCTATATACTGTCAAATCCACCACATGCACATAGTCGCAGGCAGATAGTCACATCCACAGGATCAGGCAGAAACACACAGGTACAGGCAGTAACACAGTTACAGGTAGATAAACACACACAATTACAGGCAGACAGACACACACACACAGGCAGACAGCCACACATACAGTTTCACACACACATACTTACTTGCAGACAGTCACACACACATACACACACAAAATTGAGTCACACATACACACAGGCAGACAGCCACACACACACACACATACAGAGGCAGACAGCCATACACACACAGGCAGGCAGTCACACACACAGGCAGTTACGCACGCACACACACACACCGGCAGACAGCCACACACAGGCAGCCACACACACACACACATACAGAGGCAGACAGCCATACACACACAGGCAGACAGTCACGCACACACAGGTAGACAGTCACGCACACACACACAGGCAGACAGTTACACACATACACAGGCAGATAGCCATACACACACACACAAAGGCAGACAGCCATACACACACACAGGCAGACAGTCTTACACACACACACACACACTGGCAGACAGTCAGACACACACAGGCAGACAGACATACACACACAGGCAGACAGACATACACACACACGGGGGGCGTGTCTTGGCCACCATCTTAGATGGCCACGTTATAGAGAGGCTCCTGGACAAGGGGGACAATTTTGTTCCTAAAGTGACAATTTTAATCTGAATGTACCAATTTTAATTGAAAATACAAAAAGTCAACTTAGCACTGATCATGCAGAAGCAAAAGAAAACAGAAAAATCCGTTCCTGGGACGAAGAAAATGGAAGCAGGAGCGGCTGGGGTGAGTAAGGGTTCCCAGGCTCGCTCCCCTGCTTCCAAACCCGCCTCGCGGCTTGTTTCGCCGCTTAAACTTTCGTTGGTGGCGTCGGGGAAATCCCTCCCTACCTCCCTCCCGGTCTCCCGCCCGGTCTCCCTCCCCAAAACCTATGCTTGTGCGGCCGCGACCCGTCCGCAGCTTCCTGAGGGCGGCGGGACCGCGACCGCACTAGCCGGCACTCCTGTGTGCGGCTCAGAGTGCTCCGAGCACTCGGCATGCTCGGAGCACAGTGCTGTGTCTCCCGCGAGCGGCAAGGACCTCCCTGCAAGCCGCTCGCGGTCTCACTCCAGGGCAGCCCGGTCGCTCACTTACAAAAGCGACCGGGTTGCAAGTAAAGGGGAGGGCAGTGTGAGGTCACGCTCCCCGTCGGGATCCTCAGCCTCCAGGCTGTCGGTCCCGGCGGGGGGGGCCTCTGCTGTCCGACCCAAAGTATTTAAAGGGGCAGCAAGGGCTACAGTAAGCCCAGATGAAAATCTTATGGAAATAGGGGCTGAAGTGCTCCAAAAAAGTGCCTTCTCTGCACTACCACAGAGAACACGTTATGTTGCCACAACAAAGATGGCTGACAGTCCAGATACTGTATTTTCCACTTCCAAGATGGCCGCTGCCACCTCCAATATGGCTACTACCACATTTAAAGCTGCGACCTATAATCCTAATATGCCACTTGAATTGGCAGCAGACCTGCCACCGTCAGCTGGCATGATAATTCAACTTATTAAAGATTTGAGAGTTGATTTGAAAAATGACTTTAAAAATGACTTTGACACATTATATGGAGCCATGGAGGGCATTAATCAGCGTACAGAAATAATAGAGAATAAATTGCATTCTCAAGAGCAATCTCATCTGGATTTGGTTGAAACCGTAAAAGAGCTCCAAAAGCAAGTGCACCAACAAGCAGAAAAGCTTGCCGACGCTGAAGATAGAAGTAGGCGTAATAACCTAAGGATCAGGGGGATCCCTGATAACATCGACTCCCAGGAATTACAAAGCTATTTCCAGACAATGGTGAAGTCAGCTCTTCCAAACGCAAAAAATACGGATTTATTACTGGATCGCATCCACAGATTGCCCAAACCCGGCAATGCTCCTCCAGCTGCACCCAAAGACGTGATAGTGAGATTCCACTACTATCACATTAAAGAAGAATTTCTAGGTGCAGTACGCACGTCAGGTCTCACAGGAGATTACAGCAGCATGAAGGTCTTTCAAGACTTTTCTGCTCAAACAATGAAGCGACGCAGGGAATTTCAACTTTTCACTGCGGAGCTAAGAAGAAGAGGGATAAGATATAGATGGGGATTCCCGGTTAAAGTCCTTTTCCGCATGGATGGTCGGAATTTTATAGTCACGTCGCCTGAAGAAGGAATGGAACTCATCAATACTATGAATGGACGTCGGGTTTCGCCTCATAGACTCTCGCCATCTACTCCTGTTCAGGCCAGCAAGAGAAGCAAATCAGACACTTCCTGAGATCCCAGCTCAAAGAGACATAGTCTTCCTTTTCTATGGTCATCATTGAGTCCTGCTCCAGTCCGGCGATTTATCGGGATTACTTTGAATTTTGATCTGTTTCTCCTTTTTATGACAGACTTCTGAGTTCTTCCACTAACGGTTATTTGTCCTGTGCCTTTTTCGGTTTATTTTAGAAACTGATCCTTCTATTTAAAACTTTCTATACTTATACAATCAAAATATTTTTTATTTTTTTTATATATAATTTCATATTTATTTAATTTTATTATTTTTTTATTTTATTTTATATATTTTTTTTTTTTTTTAATTGTTCTGTGCTTTTTACCCTTTCAATTGTCATATTTAAAAAGTTGCTTTTTGTTTTTTTACTACCTACATTAGCTCCCCCTGCACCCAGTAGCCTTCTCTCCCCCCAACCTGGGCCTAACACCCTGAGATGGAGAAACTTTTTTTGTTCTCCCTCATGGCCCTCTTTCACTGTTTTTGTTTCACCCCTGATAGGGGTATATATCCAAGTTTTTTGTTCCCCTTTTTTATTTTTTTATATTTTTTGTCCATTCATCATTTAAAGTTCAGTAGAAATGTTTTTAGACCACGAAACACTGCAATGCTTCATACAAAAATGCATAATACGTGGCATCAGCAAATTGTAATCATCTGTTTACTCATTATTCCTGTACACACAAGCACACAGCTTGAGTTTGCTTTAATAGCTTTGTTGGACTTGCATGTTTCTCTCTTGGAAGGTGGTGGCTGGGACTCTCACAAGATTGAATGTTCCTTTACCCTTTATCAGTTATTACTGTTCTATAAACCATGGTCTTAAAATATATGTCATTTAACGTGAGAGGCCTGAACACCGCCCACAAGAGACGATTATTATTCAAAGAAGCAAAATCCAACGAATCAGATGTGATTTGTGTACAGGAAACACATTTTAAAGATGATAAAGACCATAAAATCATGTCAAAGCTTTTCCCAGTTCAATACCATTGCACTTATAAATCCAAGTCTAGAGGTACTTCGATTTTTTTTCACAGGAATGTAGCATGCTTGACAAACAAAGTTATAACGGACGATGACGGGAGGTATTTAATATGGATAGGATCACTCAATACTATTGAATATACTATTGTGAACATGTATTTTCCAAACACCGGTCAGTTGCAGTTTTTTAGGAAATTGATGGACTCAGTGAATGAGAATGTGAGAGGCAACTTGGTAATGTGTGGTGACACGAATTTTGTGATGGATGGAGAGTTGGATAACGCTAGGGAAGACCGTGATCGACAGCTTAGAGGGGACAGTGACAGATTAGCGTATAAATGCTCCAGATATATGATTGAATGTGGCTTATACGATCCTTGGAGACTGTTGCATGAGAATGAAAGAGATTTTACGTATTATTCTGTCTCTAAAAATATGTATTCCAGGCTGGACCGGTTTATGGTCCAGGGTGCTTTAATTCCTCACATCTTGAAATCTGATATCTTAAACATTAACTGGTCCGACCATGCTCCAATCATAATGCATATTGACGAAATTGTTTCATCAGCCCCTAACAGAACTTGGAAATTAGGTGATTATTTGTTAAATGATGTTGTGAATAAGTCACTGACGGAGAAAGCTTTGTGTGATTATTTTTCGGAGAATGCCTCGCCCGAGGTTCCTGGCGAGGTGACTTGGAATGCGCATAAGGCTGTGTTAAGAGGTCATTTTATTTCTAGAGCGTCTTACTTGAAGAGAATTAATAGCAATAATTTAAGAACATTGGAAAAAGAACTGTATAATTTGAACCAAGCTAATAAATTTGGTCCATCGTCCTCCCTATCAGCAATGATAGGAGAAATTAAGGCTAAAATCAACAAAATTAATTTAGATCGTACATCTCTTATGGTGAGACGTCTCAGGAACACATTTTACTTAAAAGGTAACAGGGCCTCAACTCTTTTGACATCCAAACTCCGGCATGTGAATGCCCAATCAAAAATAGCATATTTAATTGATGATCAGGGGCAAAAAGTGTTTCATCCAACTAAAATTAGTGATATGTTCGCAGAGTATTATAGTAAACTTTATAATTTAGAATGTAATTTGGACCTCCCCCAGCCTTCTACAACAATAATTGATAAATTCTTAGACAGAGTGTCATTGCCTCGGCTGTTCTCCAGTACATTTAGAAAGCTTAGAATGTGAAATATCAGCAGCAGAGATAGCTGAGGCAATTAAACTTATGCCATCTGGAAAAGCCCCTGGTCCCGACGGATTAACTATTTTATATTATAAAACTTTTCCAGAAATTTTAATTCCCCATATGACTAAATTGTTCAATTCCTATAAGTCAGAGGGAAAGATGCCAGAGGAGTCCTTGTGCGCACGAATAGTCACTTTGCCAAAGCCGGGAAAAACTCCTGATAGATGCCCTAACTTTAGGCCCATTTCTCTGATTAATAATGATTCAAAGATTTATTCTAAGGTTCTCGCTAATAGATTAACCAAACTAATCCCATTGTTAATTAATAAAGATCAAGTAGGTTTTGTGCAGAATAGACAGGCGCCAGACGGAACTAGAAGATTTATAAACTTGATTCAGCACATCAATATGACCAAAACACCTTCTTTGCTTCTATCTCTAGACGCAGAAAAAGCGTTTGACAGGATACATTGGGGATATTTATGGAGAACATTAGATAGGTTCAACATACCATCATCATTTATCACAGCAATTAAGGCGTTATATTGCGCACCCTCCGCTCATGTCTCAGCTTCTGGCTTCACATCCAAAACTTTTTCTCTAACCAACGGGACGAGACAGGGGTGCCCTTTATCTCCAATTTTTTTGTTTTAGCGATAGAACCCCTGGCAGAACTGATTAGGACAACCCCACAAATTGTAGGAATTGCGGTTAAAGAATCCGTTCACAAAATTGGTTTGTTTGCAGATGATATAATCCTAGCTATTAAAAACCCAAAAGAATCTTTGAGACACCTCAAGGATATTTTAACTCAATTCGGTGAGATATCGTATTACAAATTAAATGAGTCCAAAACTCAAGCCCTTCCGTTTCATTTAAACAATTTGGAAACCATTGCCCTTAAGAAATCATATTTATTTGATTGGAGAACTGATTATATGGAATATCTTGGCATTAATTTATGCAAAAATTTGGTTAATATGCACAATCACAACCTGAGGAAAGCATGGTCAGACCTACAAAAAGAGATGGAGAGATGGGGTGGGATGGAGCTTTCATGGCTGGGGAGGGTCGCATCTATTAAAATGACGATACTCCCAAAAATTTTATATTTTTTTAGGACCATTCCTCTGTCCATTCCATTATCATTTTTTAATAAAGTTCATTCGACGATGTTGAAATTTATATGGGGGAACAAGCCTGCCCGAGTGAGGCTCACTTCCCTGCAGCACCATAAATCGAACGGCGGTATCGGTGTCCCCGATATCCGCAAATATTATTTCGCCACTAACGCTGCAGTGGTAGTGAGCTTTAACAACCAGGATGATAAACCCAGATGGATGGAGATAGAGGAATCAAAAATTTCGCCGGTTAGGCTATTAGAATTACCTTGGTTAAATCCCAAGAAAAGACCTGGAATTACAAAATTATTTTTATCCACCAGGACTACGCTTAAGGCCTGGGACATTGTTTTTAAAAACGACCAGTCTCCCAGATTATATAGAGCAATGCCTATTGAATTATTGAAAGATCATATACCATCCTTAAAAATAGAATTATTAAAGGATTGCTCTATAACTAATCTGGACAATTTTTTCTATGGCAATACTATTCTTTCTTTGGAAAAATTGAAGCTTAAGTATGGATTGTCGAATGCATGTGAACTGGAATGTATGATAATCATTGATAAATTGAAAGAACTATACCAGGTACCTGAAACAGATAAAAACTATAAATCACTTGAGATATCTCCTTTAGAGAAAGTTATTTTATACAGCCCCGCTAGTAAAGGTATTATATCCTTATGTTACTTATCTCATAATGCCAAGCCCTTAGTTAAATTAAAACATATGCTGTCATGGGAGACGGAGTTGGGTGCCCAGTACGATTTAGTAGAATGGTTCGGTTTCTTTACAGGTTTGAAAGGCATTTCGTACTGCACCGACCATTTTGAAAATCATTATAAAATCTTATATCGCTGGTACCTGGCTCCGTCTAGATTACATAACATGAACAATATGTATTCTGACCGGTGTTGGAGAGACTGTGGGGGAGTGGGCAATATGGCCCATATCTGGTGGTTTTGCCCCAAGTTAATTAATTATTGGAAAATGATCCACGATCTGATTATTAAAGTGAACGGAACCATTAGTATCTTAACCTCGGAACTAGCCTTATTTAAAAAACTCCCGGAGTCTGTTAATAGATCAGATAAAATAATCATAGGCCACATTCTGATCGCTGCTACATCCTGTTTACCTAGACATTGGAAGTCTCAAAATGTGCCATCTCTCAGAGAAGTTTTTAATTTGATTTTAGAAAATAAGGCACATGAACTATCACACAGAGCCAATATGCATGGTTTCCCAATACTAAAATACAACTGGGATAAATGGGAAGAAAAAATCAAAACAGTTTATGGTCTTTGATATATTTATTGTTAAAGTGCATTGTTGTAAAACATTTTTCCTTTTGCCTTCTACTTTAATATGTTTATTTCATTGATGGATGGATACCCCTTCCCATTTCCATGTTACCCCTCCTTTCCTACCCCTAATACAATGTTTGTATTATTATCATTTGTTATACAAAAAAAAAAAACTTTAATAAAAATTATTTGAAAAGACATACACACACACACACAGTCACATTGACAATCACACATAGATACCTCTGTTCATTGTGGAGGCAGACAGGCAATGCAGCTCCTGGAGACTGTTTGTTGGGGAAGCAGGGACTCCTTCCTGCTTCCCCTGCAGCAGTTACCGGCACCTTTAGCTCTTCCCCCACTGCATGGGAAGCTCCGCCCCTGCCGCAAATTTTATTTTTAAATTCCGGCCGGCCATGTGCGAGCTGTGTTGGCTGTCAGGGTGCCCCCTGCTCCATGGCGTCCTGTGCGGCCACACAGCTCGCACACCCCTAAGGCCGGCCCTGACTGTACAGAGGCATAGCAAGATGGAGGTCTTGCTATGCCTTTGTATAACTCTTCATAAGGGCATGGGTTTGCCTATTCCTCTGTATAAATGCATAGGTTTATACAGAAGCACAGAAAGATTATGGGTTTGCCTATTCATCTATACAAAGGCTTATACTTACTAAGCCTCTTTAAAAAGTTATTGGCTTGCTTTTGTGTCTCTATAGAGGCATGTCAATTTCTGCATCTTCATTTTTTCTGTGTTCTCCAATTCTTAAAGAAAATGGAGAATAAAATCCTTTAAAAAACTTTTGGGTAGGATGTGAAAATTGCTTCCAACACAATACAGTGGTTTAAAAAGTCATCAATTGCAGCAATTTTCATGCCCTGCACAGCAGTACAAGAAATAGTTTTTTTAAAAAGTGAAATTATAAACTTTTAGCATACTGATATGCAGGATGAGAAAAAGTGCTGACACATCAATGCAATGGTTTTCAAAGCCACCAACTGCAGCACTTTTCACACCTGCACAACAGTAAGAATATCGTTTAGCAAAAGATTGTAGGGTTTGAAAAGTGCTGCCTTTGCTTTTGAAAGTCACAGAGGACAGCACATTTTATGTCCTGCACAACAGCATCACTTTTGAAATCTGTGCTCTAGTTTGGTAGGGGAATACCACATCATGGTACGAAATTAGTGAAGCCATCAACTAAGCAGCACCCTAATTTGTTATCCCATGTAGTTACATAGTTACGTAGGCTGAAAAGAGACTTGCATCCATCAAGTTCAGCCTTCCTCACATTTGTTTTTTGCTGTTGATCCAAAAGAAGGCAACAAAAACTCAGTTTCAAGCACTTCCAATTTTGCAACAAAATAGGGGGAAGGGGGAATCCTTCTTGACCCCAGAATGGCAGCCAGATTTATCCTTGGATCAAGAAGCTATTACCCTATAGTTAAAAAATTATATAATTGAATATTCTGTTTTTGCAAGCTGTTTGAACATCTGTATGGACTCTAATAAAACCACTTCTTTGGGCAGAGAATTCCACATCCTTATTGTCCTAACAGTAAAAAAAATGTCCTTTGCCTTAGACAAAATCTTTTCTTCCAGTCTAAATGCATGACCTCGTGTCCTACGTAAAGTTCGGTTTGTGAATAGATTTCCACACAATGGTTTGTATTGGCCCCGAATATATTTGTATACTGTTATCATATCCCCTCTCAGGCGATGTTTTTCTAAACTAAATAGGTTTAAATTTGTTAACCTTTCTTCATAGCTGATATGTTCCATTCCTTTTATTAATTTTGTAGCCCGCCTCTGCACTTCTTCTAGTGCCATAATATCCTTCTTTAGAACAGGCTCCTAAAATTGCACAGCATATTCAATATGTGGTCTTACCAGTAATTTATAAAGAGGCAAAATGATATTCTCGTCCCGAGAATGAATGCCCTTTTTTATGCATGACAATACCTTACTGGCCTTGGCCACTGCTGATTGACATTGCACATTGTTGCATAGTTTGTTGTCTATAACAATTCCCAAGTCCTTTTCGTGTATTGTTATCCCTAATTCGCTTCCATTAAGGGTATACGTTGCTTGTGTATTATTTACGCCGAAGTGCATAACTTTGCATTTTTCAACATTAAATTTCATCTGACATTTGAGTTTTGTGTCATCTGCAAACACTAAAACATGACTTTCAATGCTGTCTTCAAGATCATTTATAAACATGTTAAATAGAAGGGGTCCCAGAACAGACCCCTGAGGGACACCACTTGCCACCTCTGTCAAGCTTGAAAGTTTACCATTAATGACAACTCTTTGTACTCCGTTTTTAAGCCAATGTTCTACCCAAGAACAAGCATTTTCACCTAGACCGATTTCCTTGAGTTTGAACACTAATCTATTGTGTGGAACTGTATCAAATGCCTTGGCAAAATCCAAATAGATCACATCCACTGCAACACCCTGATCTATACTTCTACTTACTTCTTCGTAGAACGCAATCAAGTTAGTTTGACATGACCTGTGCTTCATAAAACCGTGCTGAGTTTTTCTGATAACCATGTTCTTCTCAAGGAATTATTGAATATTATCCCTTAATAACCGTTCAAATATTAATTATATACCATACTCTTTTTTTTCTATATTAATTGCATGTGGATAAAGGGTAATCCACATTAGTGTACAGAGCAGCTATACACAATTTTCACCACTAACACATCTGTTGGAGATGTTTGGTTTTAGTTCGATCTGCCATTAGTTTCGCAAATATTTTTATATCAATGTTCAACAGTGAGATGGGGTGGTAGTGACCTGGTTCCAGGTGGGACTTGTCAGGTTTGGGAAGGAGGCATATATCCGCCTTTAGCATGTCGTGTGGTAATGTTTCGCTGTCCAGGAGCGAACTGAAAAGGTTGCATAAGTGTGGTATCAGTATTGGATGCGAACGTTTTGTAATAGAGACCAGAGAATTTGTCCGGGCCAGGACATTTGTTTGGTTTGAGTGTTTTAAATGTGTTAACTATTTCTTATGGCGTAATTGGGATGATTAATTTGTTGGCTCCTGCTGGGGAAAGAGTCAGTAAATTGATTAATTTCTGATAATCATCTGTCTTATGTGCGATCTCTTCAGGTTTGAGGCATGTTTGTGGGCTGTGGTTGTATAGGGAGGAGAAATACTCTTGAAAGATTTTGGCTATACATTCAGGTAGTTCTTGAATTTTGCAATCTGGGGATTTTATATTCTCTATGTGTTTGTGGTCTGCTCTGCGTTTGAGTTTGTGGGCTAGCATTGTGTTTGCTTTATTGGATTTCTAATAATAGAGCTGATTTGTCCACTGGAGTGCTTTAGCTGAGTCAGCAGTCATGAACTCTATTATAGTGTTTTGGCAATTGGCTATTTGTGTATTTAGTTCCGAAGTAGGGTTGCGCTTAAGTTTGGTCTCTAGGGTGTGGAGCTCAGCTAAAGTTTGTTCAAGGTTTTCTAGATATTGCTTTTTATTGTGTGAGGCTAAGCTAATCAAAGTGCCCCTGAGAACCAGTTTGTGAGCAGCCCACAGGACGCTCTGATATATATACCGAGTCTTTGTTCAGATTAACATAGTCTGAGATGGCTTGGGATGTGGATTCCCACATCGCCGGGTTGTGTATTAGTATAGGATTAATGCGGCAGGACCAGGTTTCTGCCATGTTGGGAAGCGTGATCTATATGGTTGTCGGCTTGGTCCGACAAAGTAATGGAACCAATGGAGGTGGATTTGAGTAGTGGTGCCAAAGAAGGGGAGATTAAAAATAGGTCCCTATAAGAGTGGGATTGGTGAGAGTGAGAATAGAAGGTGTAATCTAGAGAAGTAGGGTGTTGAGATCTCCAAGCATCTATCAGGTGCGTGTGAGACACAAAATTTTAGAGGAGTTTGTCAGCTTTACCTGTGGGTGGGTTGGCAAGGTGGGTGTAGTTGGGCCCTGTGCCTGTCTGAAGGGGGATAGGGTGGTGTTGTAATCTCCGCCTACGACTAGGTGGTTTGAGGCAAAGAGTAGGCGGTGGGCTTGTATGTTCTGCCAGAAAGAGCTTGATGGGGTGTTGGGTGCATAGATGGAGGTGAAGGCATATTTGTGGGGTCCGATCCTGCCTGCTATGGTTACATAGAATCCCTGCGGTTCCGATGCAGTTCTTTCCACCGCCAGGGGGCATGATATGTGGAGCATGATTGCCACACCGTTTTGTTTACCGCTCGGTGAGTTATATCAGTCCCTGAAAATGCAGAAGGTTAAATAGTGGGGTGATAACCTTGATTTACAAAAAACGGACTCTGACTCGAGGATTCGTGAGTCACATTATTTCTGGCAAATTCAGCCATGGGTAAGAGTTCGAACCAATTGGACTGATTGGCATCGATAAAGCAACGCACATAGGATTCTAAAGATTGATTGGCTCTTTCTGCGGCGCCATTAGTCTGAGGGTGGTACGAAGAGGAAAATGAAAGTTCTGTGCCCAACTGTTTACAGAAGGCACGCCAGAATCTAGAGATAAATTGGGTTCCTCTGTCAGAAACAATGTTTTTTGGTACTCCGTGTAAGCAAAAGATTTCCTTTATGAAAATTTGGACTAGATCTTGAGCAGATGGCAATTTTTGAAGAGGTATAAAATGTGCCATCTTGGAAAATCCATCTACAACCATGAGGATGATGTTATGCCCATTAGAACTGGGAAGTTCCACAATGAGATCCATGGCTAAATGGGTCCATGGAGCATCGGGTTTCGGAAGTGGCTGTATCAACCTAGGGGGAGATCGATGAGATGTTTTAGAAACCGCACATATTTGACATGCCCCTACATAGTCTTTAATGTCACCTCTAAGTGTAGGAGAGAGTTTTATGTATTCCAGGATATCCTGCTGTCAGATTAAAATGAAACACTCCAAATACTTTCTTCCTTAATAAGGGTGAAACATACAGTTTGTCCTGGGGTTTCCCCACGGGTGCCTGAGTTTGATCTGCTATTATGACACCAAAGAGTGGAGAAGATATTTCAGTAACTGTAGTAGCAATAAGACATTCTGGAGGTACGATCGGGGATACCTCTTGTTCAGGGGCTTCATCTGTCTCAAACTGTCTAGAGAGTGCCTCTGCCTTGGTATTCTTTGTCCCGGGCCTGTATGTAATTATAAAATTAAACCGGGAGAGGAATAATGACCTTCTAGCCTGTCGGGAGGACAATCTCTTAGCATCCCCAATATAAGCCAAATTCTTATGATCGGTAAAAATCAAAAGTGGCTCTTTGGAACCTTCCAAGAGATGCCTCCATTCCTTGAGGGCGAGAACAATGGCCAGTAATTCCCTATTCCCGATGTCATAATTTCTCTCTGCTGGAGTTAAATTTCGAGAGAAAAAGCCACAGGGATGTAACGGCGCATCAGGACAGAATGGCTCCTACTCCTGTCTCTGACGCATCTACTTCTAAAATAAAAGGTTTGGTCGGATCAGGGTGCGTCCGGACAGGTGCTGAAGCAAATAAAGATTTTAATCTTTCAAATGCCTCTTTTGCTTCTTTGGACCATAAATTACAATTTGCTCCTTTCTTGGTTAGGTTGGTAATAGGAGCGATTTCTGATGAACTTACGGTAATAATTTGCAAAACCTATAAAGCGTTTTGTAGCTTTAAGGCCTTTGGGTAACGGCCATTGCAAGACTGCTTCCAGTTTGTGTGGGTCCATTTTGAAACCAGAAGGGGATATAACATAGCCAGGAAACTGTAGCTCAGTCTGGTCAAACTGGCATTTTTCCAGCTTACAGTATAAGCCATTTTTTAACAGGGTTTTTAGTATGATTCTCACATGTTCGTGAAGAGTTTCTAGGTCTGGGGAATAGATGAGAATATCGTCTAGATACACTAGTACGAATATGTGAAGATATTCTCTAAGGACATCGTTAATCAAGTCCTGAAATACATTGCATTGCATAGGCAAAACGGCATGACCAGGTATTCATAATGTCCCATTCTCGTATTAAACGCGGTCATCCACTCATGCCCTTCCTTAATTTTGACTAGGTTGTATGCGCTCCTCAGATCAAGTTTTGTGAATACTCGGGCACCCCTCAACCTATCAAATAGCTCAGAAATAAGGGGAATGGGATAGGCGTTTTTAATCGTAATTTTATTTAGACCCCTATAATCAATACAAGGGCGTAGGTCTCCTTTTTTAGAAACGAAGAAGAACTCAGCCCCAGCTGGGATTTCTGAGAGAGCATCTTTTTGAGAGCATCCTTAATGTATTCCTCTAAACCAGGGGTTCTCAACCCAGTCCTCAAGGACCCCCTACCAGTCCAGGATTTAGGGATTACCTGGGTGTGTCTAAGGTGTTTGGAAAAAAGAAAAAAAAACTCCTAAGACACACCCAGGTAATCCCTAAATCCTGGACAGGTAAGGGGTCCTTGAGGACTGGGTTGAAAACCCCTGCTCTAAACAAAGGGTTTCTTGAGGAGAAAGTGCATAAACTCCTCCTTTAGGGGGCATAGTGCCAGGTAACAAATTAATGGCACAGTCGTAGGGCCTATGTGGAGGTAATACCTCCGACTGAACCTTGTTAAATACTTCTTTTAAGTCCAAATACTGCAGTGGGATTTCTGTGGTTAAGGGAGGTGCTATAGGTACATTGATGGTACCGATTCGTTTAGGCACCTGTTTTAAGCAATGACCTCTGCAACTCTTTCACCAACTCACAATCTCTCCTTCAACCCAATCTAGACATGGATTGTGTTTCTGGAGCCAAGGAAAACAGAGTATTATTGGACATGTAGGGGAAGATATAATTTGAAAAAAACATTTCTTCAGAATGTAAGAAACCTACTGAGACAGTGATTGGTCTAGTTCCGTGTGTGATGAGAGGTTGAGTAAGAGGTCTCCCATCGATAGTCTCTACTGCTATGGGTCTGTCTTTCTGCCTTAAAGGCAGAAGATGTTTGGTAGAAAATTCCTTATCAAGGAAATTCTCTGCTGCCCCAGAGTCAATCATGGCCTCACACTGAACAGTAGTTTTCTTACAAAACAGAGTGATTGTTATAAGAAAGCAGTTCGTTCAATTTAGGAGACATATACATCACACCTAAGGTCGGTCCCCGAATGTGCAAGTTTTCCGGCCGAACCGGACAATAAAACCTCTGTTGTCCTCTTTTGCCACAATATAGACACAACCCCTCATTGCGTCTGTATTGTCTCTCTTCCTCAGTCAGTTTGGTAATGCAGATGGATTGGTAACCAATTGCATGGGTTTGGCTTCTGCAGATGGAGCATGACTAACAGTCAATGGGTTAGAGAAACGAGGGGCTATAAACAAGTTTGTACGTCTAGTACGCTGTTTGTTTTTCTCCCTCTCTCTGAGCCTGTTGTCAATGTCAATCATGTATGCAATAAAATCATTAAGATTAACCGGAAGGTCTCTGGCAGCGGTTTCATCTTGTATATTTTCCACTAAACCTTCCGAAAAAGCAGCCACCAAACCACTATTGGTCCAGTCAACCTCAGAAGCGAATGTCCTGAACTCTATGGCGTAATCGGCTACAGAGCAGGTGCCTTGTTTTATTCTCATTAAGGCTCTGGCAGCGTTTTTTTCTCTTTTCCCTTTGGCTCAAAAGTGGCTTTAAATGCCGTTAAAAGTTAATTATAATCAGGGCAACTGGATTTCCACTCTCCCATAAGGGATTGGCCCAGGTTAAGGCCTTGCCTATTAATTGGTTCATAAGATAGCCAATCTTTGACCTATCTGTAGGGAAGGAACCAGGGGAAGCCTCAAAATGATATTTAATTTGGTTAAGGAAACCTCTGAATTCTTTAGAATCACCTCCAAAACGAGGGGGAGGTGAAAGGGTTATGGATGGAGGTTCATATACTACAGGTGCAAGTATAGGTGGCGGAACTTCATGTGGTACCGGGGGTGCCTCCAGATAAGCAGTTCTCTGGAGCAAGGTATGGAATGCTTGGGCAAACTGATCTAACCTGTGGTCCATATCCTCCACCCTGTTCTCACAGGCTATCATATGTTTACATGGTTCCGCAGGATCCATGGCCCTGTCGTAATGTCACGGCTGCTAGTGTGGTCCAACACGCAGAAACTATGTAAACATATACATACAAAAGGAAAGGAAATAAAAGGACAGAGCGTAAACCGGACCTTAGAATGGCCGGACTAATACGCTAGAGAATGGTCAAAGGGAAAGCCGAGGTCAAGGAAGCCATAAGTACTCAGATACGGTTTAAACAAGCCAAGTCAGGGGAACCAGAATTCGGAATAACCAGGGTGTCAGGGTCCCGCGGGCGGCTGCGAGGGGAGGCTGCAGTCCGCTCGCGGCACTCACCCTCTAGCCGTCCGCGGTCCCCCTTCAGCCGTGTGCTCGGCGGGCGGCACCCTCTCTCCCACGGGTGCCGTCCGCCTCTTCCTCTGTGTCTCCCAGCGGCAGCATGTATGACGCTGCACGCTGGGAGACCGCCCACTTTAACCAACGCCAGGGTCAGTCACCTGACCCGGCGTTAAAGGCACAGTGCCTCAATCACAGTGGGAGGTTTAGATATCTCCCACGCGTGATTGTTAATTCTGATTGGAAATTATCCAATCAGAATTAACCTTTGGATTTATATACTTACCTTTCCTGTTCCTCTTCGCCCTGTTGTGGTCTTTGCTTGTTAGTATTGATTCTGAACTTGTGTTTCTGGTTACGTACTCTCTGGCTTGTTATCCGACTTTGTGACTTTCTCCTACCCTTTGACCTCGGCTTGTCTATCGTTATTCTGTCTTCTGGTTCCCCTTACTCGGCTTGTTTCCTGACTATTCTTTGTGTGCTTAGCCCGGCCACTCTAAGGTCCGGTACGGCACTTTGTGTGTGTGTGTTGGTGTGTTTGGTTCCCCGAATCGTGACACAGGGAAAAGCCAAGATCAGGATACCAGGAACAGGAAACCATGACAGGGCAAGGTACTGGGGTGAATTAGGGATTTAAATATCCCTCTCTAGGCTCTGATTGGTCAGAGGGTGACCTCTGACCCCAGAACGTGCGCGTGCGTTGACGTCGTGCCATCTTGGATTTCCCTGAGTGGCGTGGAGGAATGGTTCCCGGCTCGCCGCTGAGCAGGTACGCTCAGTGAGTTGGTGCGGTCGTGCCGGTCAGGGGCCGTGACAGTGGGGCGGTTAAGGGAGGGAAGAGAGAACAGGTGGGAGCGGTAAGAGGGTGGAGCATGAGTGGAATATAGAGGTGGGGGTAAAAGGGAACACAAAGAGGTGTATCTGGTCTTATACTAGAGTAGCCAGGTCTAGTAAGGACAGAGTAATTCCGGTCTATGGGTAGTTACCCAGACCGGGAGATGGTATGTTAGTCCCCCTTTTAACACCACCCACACTTGAACATAATAATATAACTATTACTATATTAATGCTGCCACCACCATGACAATTTATAAATGTGCCTTGGTCCCCCAGTTAAATCAATAATAAAACCCACCAAATATTACTTAGCACAATATTTAAGATATTGCAAAAATACTAATTAGTGAGCACACAAAAAAAAATTATTTACACCAACAACAGATGAAAACAAAAAGGATAAAATACAGAAGTCTTAATAACTTACTTAGGTTTTCAAAGTACAAAGGGTTAACCCTAGATGGACCAGGCACCCAGACCACCTCATTAAGCTGATGTGGTCTGGGTGCCTATAGTGGTCCTTTAACGTACTAGAGAATAGTCAGAATACGTGCCGAGGTCGGGGACACAGAATGAGACACAACGATAAAGGAAAGCCAAAGTCAGGGATACCAGAATAGAGGGAAGTCAAATGAAGCTAAAGTCAATAACCAGAAATAAAGGAACACACTCTCGGACAACAACTAAGGGAAACCACTGCCCAAGGGGTCTCTGGAAAGGATAATGGTGACTCACTCAAAACCCCGCTCTCCCCTCGGCCTCGTCCCCTTTCTCTTACGTTTCCTACTCATCCTTTTTCTGTATATCTCCATTCTCTCCCCATATCTCCTGGGGTAACCTGATAATATTTGATAACTAAAAACAAACCTGATAACTCTGCTCTGGAGATAACTCGACACCGCATCCAAAACCCCTGGACTCCATGTATCTATGGGTCCATGGGGTTAGGGTCTAACAGGGATCTAGGCAACAAGCAGATAACTTAACCAGACTCAAGGACAGATGGGAGGCCTGCCTACTTTGGTGTCAAACAACACTAGGAAGTGGCAGGAGTAGGGGAATCAAAAGATTATAGAAGGCACCTAAAAATAGTCTGGAGCCAGAGGTGTGAGATATACATACTGTTATAATCTTGTTTTACTCATGTTACAAAAATAAAAACCAGCATTGACTGGAGATCAATGACCAGATAGCTAGACATGAGCATATACAACCTTATGATATCATGTTTTAATTGTTTATATTCACATTGTATTCAACTACACGGTTAATTACTTTGCGCTTGTTAGTTCATTATGTCAATGCTAAATAAAGAATTGAAAAAATAAACAAATTAGATCTTGGCCCAGGCAAGTACAAAGACCTTTTTAATATCACTTGATATATACCCTTCAGATTCATCCCAGCCTTCCCTGAGGCGGAGCTAAGGCGTACCTATAGACACAATAAGTAGCAACTGTTTCAGAAAACAAGCCAAATATAATTTTTTGGTTTTATCTCATCTACTGTACTTGCCACATAAATAATAATTGTCTCTATGAATTTGTTACCATTTTCCTATTCTAGGGATATATCACATGACTTACGTGACCTAATATAGCAGACATCACAACCCCTGCAGCCTGGTTTAAGTTGTATAAGTGGTGTTTGCATATTAATAGGGAGGTTACAGTTTCAGGAACATTGGGTGCGTGGTAGGTGCCCAGGTATCTTGGGTTAGCTCTGCCTCATCACTCGTACGAGCAGGGCGTCAAGGGCAAGAACGGATGGGCGGGTTGCACAGTGCCTGCACTTGTGATAAGGTGTGGCGGCCTCTTGCGCAAGCTATGTTGTGTCCATATGGGACCGTTTGGTATGTTGTGCAGATCGCCTTACTGCAAGCCCTCCGGTGCCTATGATATATTGGTGTACATTAGTAGAAGTGGCTTCAGAGAGGGAAGCAGAGGGGGTGGGCTTAGACGGGGGATCACCAAAAAAAACGATATACTATATTTAACAATAGACATTAATAATCATCAGGTGAAATATTAGGAAATGTGTACAGAGTAGTAAGATACAATGTCCCTGGGGATGATACTCCAGGGCCCCCACAGTGGCACCTGCCCCCACAGGGCTTGGGGGCAGTCGTCAGTGAACCTAAGGGATTCTGATCGATCCTAGTGGACATGGGTCCCCGTTAACTGCTGCATGGCTCCCGGGCTGATTATGGAGAGAGGCTCCTACGACAAGGGGCTATGAAGGTGACGTCTTACCGGGCCTTAGAATGGCCGGAATTAAAGGACCACTATAGTGCCAGGAAAACATACTCGTTTTCCTGGCACTTTAGTGCCCTGAGGGTGCCCCCACCACCCTCAGGGTCCCCCTCCCGCCGGGCTGAATGGAGAGGAAGGGGTTAAACTTACCTCTTTCTCCAGCGCCAGGTGGGGAGCTCTTCTCCTCCTCTCCTCCTCTTCGGCTGAATGCGCATGCGCGGCAGGAGCCGCGCGTGAATTCAGCCAGTCCATAGGAAAGCATTCACAATGCTTTCCTATGGACGCTGGCGTCTTCTCACTGTGATTTTCACAGTGAGAAATGCGGAAGCCCTCTAGCGGCTGTCAATGAGACAGCCACTAGAGGCTGGATTAACCCTAACATAAACATAGCAGTTTCTCTGAAACTGCTATGTTTATAGAAAAAAGGGTTAACCCTAGATGGACCAGGCACCCAGACCACCTCATTAAGCTGAAGTGGTCTGGGTGCCTATAGTGGTCCTTTAACGTACCAGAGAATAGTCAGAATACTTGCCGAGGTCAGGGACACAGAATGAGACACAACGATAAGGGAAAGCCAAAGTCAGGGATACCAGAATACAGGGAAGTCAAACGAAGCCAAAGTCAATAACCAGAAATAAAGGAACACACTCTCGGACAACCACTAAGGGAAACCTAGACAGGGCAATGAGAAAAATGCAAAAGAAGTTTATATAAGCCTCCTTCAGATCTGATTGGCTATACCAGGCCTTTGACCCCAGAATGTGCATGCTCAGGTAGGTGCCCAGGTATCTTGGGTTAGCTCTGCCTCATCACTCATGCGAGCAGGGCGTCAAGGGCAAGAACCGATGGGCGGGTTGCACAGTGCCTGCACTTGTGATAAGGTGTGGCGGCCTCTTGCGCAAGCTATGTTGTGTCCATATGGGACCGTTTGGTACGTTGTGACGTCACACCCACGCCGCTGTCGTCAAAACCGGGGGCGGAAGTGGGGTTACAAATTGGTGTGGATCCGCAGCGGCAGGCACCCACCAACATGCTGCAGGAGTCAGATACATTGACGCATGGCCGCTGAACGATAATTCCACAGTAAAGCAGTTCCCCTCCAATCACGAGACCAAGCTACGTGTTGAGGGTTAAGCAGCACTCAATTTTAATGGTGCCACACTGGCCTTTTATGACAATCCCCAAGCAAGGTGTATGCCCACATGGACCTTGTTGGGGACAGGGACACAAACTTATACATCAATGGCAATAGAGTTACAATCTAAGAAATTCCCCACATAATACAATAAGCCTTCCCCTTTACTTAGGAGATAATTGAGTCAAGTACTATACTAAACTCAATTATCTCCAAACACAAAAAACACATTTCTAAAAAGTCCCAAAAGTACCCCAAAACACATAGTACCCCCACAAATCTTACATCCCCTGATATCCCTGATCAGGGTGACCAACATATCCAAAAATCACCCAGATCAGTTCAGGGGTTCAGAAATTTTACGGAAGTCATATTTTTTACCGACTGCAGGCATTGTCCCATAGCCGAAAATAGTTCCATAGAATTGCGGCTAAGTGCCGCTGGAGGACCGACCGGGAACCACAAGGTTTTCATGCTGAAAATAGTTCCAGCGCATTCGCGGCTAAGTCCCCCTGAAGTCTATTTGCGGTTTTGGTCCATGGGAACAAGATGGCCACCACCTTGTGGTCGAATGGCACTTCAAATGGCTTTGGAAGTTTGGGAGTTCGAAGTGCCACTTCGAAAGTTTGAATAGTTATTGTCCAAAGTCATAATGGGTACAAATAGGGGTCATAGTCAGAGGGTGAAAAGCTGGCAAGTAGTCCCCTCCAAACCCCAATGGTGAACCCCAGTGGGTTTTTAATGATTTTTTTGAAGTAGTGGAGACTGGATGAGCATCTCATGGAGGAGGGAAGTGAGTTCCACAGGAATAGTGCAGCCCTTTTGAAGTATTGAAGGTGAACATCAGACGTGGATGTACGGACAGAAAATAGATGTAAGTCTTCAGCAGAGCGTAAGGGCCTAGACAGGACAAACTTGTGTATTAGGGAGGATAGAGAGGTGGGAGCAGCATTATGTAGAGATTTGAAAGCAAGAACCAGAATTTTAAATTGAAGGAAGCCAATGTAGGGACTGATAGAAGGATGAAGCGTGGGAGGTGCGGGCGGACAGGAAGACGAGCTTTGCCGCCGCATTCATTATGGACTGTAACGGCGCAAGTTGGGAGCACGTTAGACCACTGAGAAGCAGATTACAATAGTCAAGGTGAGAAAGGGCAGTGGAATGGACCAGCACCTTAGTCGCACTTGGTATTAAGTAGGGTCGGATGCGCGCATTGTTTTTGAGATGGAAGCAGCAGGATTTGGCGATAGGCCGCACATGAGGCGGGAAGGAGAGGTCGGAGTCAATGAGTGACCATGAGATTTTGCAGCAAGTAGATCATTGGATACTTTGGTCAGTACCATTTCCACAGAGTGCTTAGTGCGGAAACCAGATTGAAGCAGGTCTAACAGATAGCTGGGCTTGAGAAAGTCTGTAAATCTCACATACACAGCTCTTTCAAGGATCTTGGATGCAAAAGGCAGTAGCGATATAGGACAGTAGTTAGGGTCAAGGTTGGGCTTTAGAATTGGGATTACAGTTGCATGTTTGAAGGGCGATGGAAATATTCCAGAGGAGAGAGAGATTGAGAATTTTAGTGAGAGGTAGAGAAAGAGAAGACAAAGTACGGATGAGATGCAGGGAAATTGGATCTAGGGAGCAGGTGGTGGGGCAGGAGGACTGGAGCATGAATGACTGGAATGAACATAGAACAGCAGAGAGAGTGAGCTTAGGGGAAGTATTGTAAAGGGAAGAAGAAAGACGAGATAGCTCTTCCTTGATTGTAGAGATCTTGTCAGTGAAGTGAGTTGCAAAGTGAGGCAATCAAGTTAATAGGTTAAAATGTGTGAAATAGTCGTTTGGGTCCGCAGGAGAGTGTTTTTACGAGGGTATTGAAGTAATTAACTTTTGCAGAGGAAAGAGCCAAGCTGTATGAGCGCAGCATAAATTTATAGTGGAGAAAGTCTGACGCACAGTGAGACTTTCTCCAACAGCATTCAGCAGTTCTGGAGCATTTTTGGAGGTATCGAGTCAGCTTGGTGTGCCAAGGTTGTTGTTGGGGATGTTTAAATGTAGGAGGTGCCATGATATCTAGTTGAGAGGAGAAGGTGGAATTGTAGAAGGAGGTTGCAGAGCTAGGACAGGTGAGGTTTGAGATAGATGAAAGGAGAGTTTGGAGATTAGTGGATAAATGCTCTAGGTCAAGAGATTGGAGGTTTCTGTGAGATTGATGTTCAGACGGTGGTGTCAATTGGGTCTTGGGTATGCCGATGTCAAAAGTCAGCAGATGGTGGTCAAATAGATGAAAATGAATATTGGAGAGATTAGAGGCGGTACAGAGATTGGTGAAGGCGAGATCAAGAGTGTTTCCTGCTGTATGGGTTGCTAAATTGGACCATTGCGTGAGGCCAAAGAAGGAGGTTAGAGAGAGCAGATAAGAGGCATCAGTGCAGGTGAGGTTGTTGATTGGGATATTGAAATTCCCAAGTACAAGGGAAGGAGTGCTAGATGAGAGGAAGTGGGGAAGCCAGGAATAAAAGTGCTCAATGAATAGCCTAGGATGACTGGGGAGGGAGGGGGGCGGTAGATGATAGCAATTCTTAAAGGCGTGGGTTTAAATAGGCAGACAGTGTAAACTTCAAAAGAAGAAAAGGATAGGGCAGAGCAGTTATGATTGGTTGAAAGGTACATTGAGGGGAGAGAAGGATGCCTACACCACCTTCTTTACAGTTGAGTATGGGAGTGTGAGAGAGTTCTAGCCCACCAAAACATAAAGAGGCCGGAGTAGCGCTATCAGAGGGGGACAGCCAGGTCTCTGTAAATGCAAGTAGTGTGAATGAGTTTGAGATAAAAAAGTCGTGTATGGCTGTTGATTTTAAATTACTGCAGACGGAGCAGGCGTTCCAGAGTGCACATTGAATGTTGGTAAGTGAGGGTAAAGGGCATGGTATTGTGATGAGGATTATGGAGAGAAGGTGAAGGGCCCTGGATTGGGAGAGACATCACCAGCTGCTAGAAGGAGAAGGAAAGAGGATGTGTGAATGGGTTTTGTATGCATGGGGTCTAGAATGAGATTTATTGTGGGTAGGAGTGAGAGAGTAGAAAAATTAGTACAAGGCATGAGATGAGAGAAGGTGGGAGTGTAGCAGAGAGGGGCATATGTAAAAGTGGTTGGGGGGAATGAGGGAAGTGGGTATAAGGAGAGATTTTTATACTGAGGGAGAACAAGGAAATAAAGAGGAGGAGAAGACAGATCATTGCTAAACTGTGAAAGAGTAAATTGGAAATAATTGGAATATCAAGAGCAGGTGAAGGTAGGGTAAATATTAAATTTGATGGGTTAAGAAAGTGCAGGAGTGTACTAATAAGAGGTAGTGTGTATACCTGTTATTTTTTACTTATCTAAAATTTGGTTGTGACAGACAATCTATAAATGTAATAATGAGCATGGGGTGGGGAGGGCGGCATCAGACTTTCTTACAGCAGTATTGTGGTTTGAAAGTTTGGAAATCAGGCTGTTGAATAAAGATATGCAAAGGTCAGATAGGCTTGCAATAAAGCAGAGGGAGGGGGATGTATGTATCTAGGACCAGAGATGAAGGGATGGATATTCAAATAAAAACAAACATATCTATAAAAGAAGGGTCAGAGGTCAGTCAGAAATCAGAGGGGAAACAGAGGAATGCATATTGGTGAATAAAACAATTACATACAGGGCTAGCAAAACTAAACTTTAGCAAAACAGACAAGATAAAAAGGCACGAAAATATACAATGCACACAGGATATATAAAATAAAATAAATGTACAGGGTGGTTAAATTAAATATAAATGATGCTGTGCAGGATAGAGTCTTAGTGTGATCTTCCAGAAGGCTACCTTTGCTTATTGCAGACGATCAGCTGATGGAACACTGATTTTCTTACAGCATTATTGGGGCTTGAAAGTTTGGAAATCAGGCTTTGCTTATTGCAGACGATCAGCTGGTGGAGCAAATTATGGACTTCCATGAAGTGTTTGGACAGGGTATGGTTCTCAAACTTTCTTTTTATGTTGTAAGTGTGTTCTCTTAATTTTCAACATACATTCACTTTGACCCACGTATTGGAGACCACACTCACATTCTAATAAATATATGACCTGCTTAGAGTGACAGGTGATACGGTCTTCAATATTGTAGGTCCTGTTAGTTTTATATGATCGAAAGCTAGTTATTTTTCCAAAACGTGGCCCTGTGGTTTTACATATATTGTACTGACCACACTTATAAAAACCTTTATTTCTATTTTTAAAAATGCTTTTTTATTTCAGGGGCTTGGAAAGTGTGCACTATTTTTTGTTTTATAGTTGGTGCTCCTCAGAAAACTATCCTTTGTTTAGGAGGTAGGACTGGACCTAATGTAAGGTCGTGGAGTAAAAAGTGCCAAATGTTATGTATTATTCTTCTTAAAAGTTTGGATTGTGAACTGTAATTAAAAATAAGAGGACAGTTAAAATTATTTTCAACAGTTATATAGTCCCGAGGTTGTGATATTTGTTTTCTATGCAGATTATTAACTTTTTTTATTGCTTTATTTAATAGTTCCTTATTATATTCTTTTTCTTCAAATTGTTGTTTAATTATTTCTATTTGTTACTTGACAGACTGACGCATCTGTACAGTTCTTTTTAATTCTACTGAATTGACCCAAAGGGACATTGTTGATCCAGGGTGGGAAGTGGCAACTAGAGTTTAGGATAAAACTGTTGACATCCACACTTTTTAAAAAAAAGTCCTTGTGTTTAGGACATTATGTTCAACATAGAGCACCAAATCTAAAATATCTATTTCTGTACTCTGGTATTTTTAAGTAAAAGATAAGTTAAAATCGTTAGTGTTGATATACTTAAAAAATTCTAATAAAAGTTTTTCCTCTCCTTCCCAAAAAAAAAAAAGTCATCTATATAGGGTCTATAGAGGACTAGATTCATCAACAAGGGATGGCCTTCCCAAATAAAAAAGGGTTCCCAGAAGGTCATCAAAATATTAGCGTAACTGGGTGCGAATCTAGTCCCCATCGCTGTGCTGTTACCTGAAGATATATTTCTTGATTATGCCAAAATAAATGATTAGTTAATATAAAATTGATGCACTCTATTAAAAACTCTGTCTGTTCTAGATGCATGTCTCCTTTTTTGATAGAGAGTATATAAAATTGCTTGAAGGCCTAAGTGATGTTTATTGATGGTATATAATGATATAAGATCACATGTAACAAGCCAGAGATGGTTATTCCATGTTTTTCCTTCTACCAGTTTTAGAAGTTCTCCACTATCTTTCAGATAGGACTTTGACGTCTTAACATAGGGTTGTAGGAGTACATCTATATATATTGGGACAGATTCTATACCAGAAATAATTGGTCTACCTGGGTGTTTTTGTGAATTTTTGGGAGAAAAGGTTTTTTTTTGTGAACTTTTGGGAGAATATGACGTATTCACTCATTCTTTATTTTTCTAAAAGCATATGTAAGTTCATCTTGGTCTCTTTCATAGGGTCTTTATTTAAAATTTCATAGGTAGTTGTGTCTTTTAAAATTTTATTGCACTCTTCTTCATAATATATAGTGTCCATAATTACAATTCCTCCACCTTTAACGGCAGGTTTGTCATATTTTTCTATTATCATTGAGTTCTTTCAGTGCTTTTCTTTCAGAGACAGTTAGATGATGTGCATGATTAGGTATTTTAGTTGGGATTTTCTCGGCAATGACTGCCATGCTGAAAGCTTCCATTGGGGTACTGATTACTGATATTTCAATGTTCCACTCACAAGAGTATAGATATGGTAGACTTATCACTCAAATAAAATATTGCAAGCATATCACATCACCAGATATAGACACCAGATCCTCTTGTCCAACCAGTCCCAGGGAACAGATGAAAATTTTTTTTTCCCCCAATTGATTAAATTCATTTTTGGATTTTTTCAATTTTCTTTTTTCTATTTAAAGTATTAAAATATTATTTTATTAAATTAAATGAATCACTAATAAAATACAACACATTAGTTTATTTATTATTAACATTAAGGTAATTAGATTGAAAATTCATTAACTAATCTGCACTAATATAAATACACTTGCACATTTGCACATATCCTGTTTTAATGTATTCATTTATATGTTCAAATATGTATATAGAGAATACTAATATGTTGGAGAATTATTTTTTCAGGAGATATATATTGAGGAGGACTATGAACTTTATGATTATTCACGAAAAACCAGAAGTGACGCGACGGCATTTGCGGCCGCGTCACACTGAATCCTGGATTGGCGAAACCGGAAGTTAAGAGCCACCCGTGGAGTACTATGGACTATGTAGTTTACAACTACCGGAAACGACGCGATGGAATTCCGCATTATGACAAAGCATCATGGGCTTGGTAGTTTTAAGGAACCGGAAATGACGCGACGGAACTCTGGTCGCATCACAAATACTTACCGATTGGATAAAGTAGAAAATTGGCGGGAAATTCAAAGCTTTTTAAGATGTACAAACAGAGACTGCCTGTAGCTGACTGAGGAAGCCGTTTTTTTATCGGCGAAACGCGTTTTAGCTTTTAAAGTGAACCCATATATATTTTTTTAGGTCACATACTTTTATTTTGTATTGCTATTTTACTGTTTTTTATTTTCTAGCTATTACAGTGTAATTGTAATTTTATTTTATAATAAATTTGTTCCCATTTCTTCAATTCATCCATTGCATCCTGTATAAGTGATTCAAAGGGAGGGGCAGTGTCACCCCAAAATTTGACACTGGGCAAATATACTTAGAGCCGGTTACCAAGGGCTCTAAAAAAGGTGAGCATTTCCATTTTTTCTTATATGGATATCATTTCCTTTTCTGAGATGCTACACTTAGTATGAAATATCTGTGTCTTTTATATATCCGGTGGAGAACATTCATATCTTCCTTGTGAGAGAGGGGTCGTGTGATCTACCCAAAAAAGACACAGACGTGCAGAAGTTTAGAGCCTAACACTAGAAAAGGCTCTAACGAATGTGAGTTTATATATTCACTTATTTCACCAATCACTCCATTTAAAGACATATTACACTATTATCTGTATATGTTCTTCTTTCTTCTTTTTTATGTACCATATTGTATCACGAGAAACGATAAAGGGTAAGAGTTCCAAGATCTAGTGAACACACTTACCTAAGCACTTATATAGCGCTGCACTCACTTAAAGCACTTTAGATTTGGGTGGTGGTAACATCATCCAGGTCAAAAAGTTTCTTTGTGTTCTGGTGATTGTCTATGTGTAGTGGGTAATTAGGAGTACCCACAGATTGTATACAGCAGCTGTACCATACTTCCTTTTGTTTATAACACAAAGCGCCATTTATTCCACATTTTTTCGTGTATCTTCAACAGATGAAAATTGACCAGGATGTGATAAACAAACAAAATAAATACAAATAATAAGCAATAAATATGCCCTATGTGTTGCGTCCGTCAAAGCAGATTTAATCAGGGACAGAAGCAACCTTCATGTTTGCAGTTTGTAGAATAATTCTTGCCGCTCGCTATACAGGTATAAATGTCACTCGGCGCTCTTCTAGGCAATACACTTGGCGCCGATACATTTGTCCACTAATTATACGCTTGCGTTCCAAAAATCATTTTCTTCCTCTTTCTACATTTCAAAGACTAGTGTTGAGTCATATCCGATCCGACTTGCGTTCCACCAGACCAAATATGCATTCCATACTCTGTTAAAGTCATTGGATCCATGCAGTTCATGATATAATAGAAAACAACAAATAAAAATAGAAAATACACATATCATACCAAATTATATTAAAAACAATAAGCCGGGGCAAAGCCAACTGAGCAGCAGACAGGTCTCATAAGACAAAGCTCCTATTAACCTGGTGCTCAACTAAATAGGGAGAAGTTAATTGGAAAGTAAGGCCAACTGGAAACAGAAAGAGATCTGGGTGCAGCAGCCTGGAATAGCCCCACAGGCAGGTAATGGCACTGTGAGGTACTGCACCAGACTGTGAATAAACAGAATTGTGATATTAATATTCCTAAAAATCTAGGGGATTTATTCAGCCACAACTCTGTCAAACTAATCAAAGAATTTACAGATATTCTGTGTTTGTGAGAAGTCACATTTCTACACAGATAGGTTGTATCACAGCAACAAAAATGTCTTTAATACCAAAACTTTAGCATCTCCTAAGTACCTTGCAAATTCCATTACCCAAACAATTACTCACACAACATACACTTTATGTTTATCAGATTGTTTTGGATTAAGAAAAGGATAAGGGTAGTTACAAGGATTTTACAAAAAATAGTGACAGAAGGTAGATTGGGACTCCCGAATTTTAAAGGACCACTATAGTGCCAGGAAAACATACTCGTTTTCCTGGCACTATAGTGCCCTGAGGGTGCCCCCACCCTCAGGGTCCCCTTCCCGCCCAGCTCTGGGGAGAGGAAAGGGTTAAAACTTACCTTTTTTCCAGCGCCGGGCGGGGAGCTCTCCTCCTCCGATCCTCCCTTTCGGCTGAATGTGCACGCGCGGCAAGAGCTGTGCGCGCATTCAGCTTTCCTATGGACACATTCAAGCTTTCTTATGGACGCTTGCGTGTTCTCACTGTGATTTTCACAGTGAGAATCACGCAAGCGCCTCTAGCGGCTGTCAATGAGACAGCCACTAGAGGATTTGGAGGCTGGATTAACCCTATTATAAACATAGTTTCTCTGAAACTGCTATGTTTATAAAAAAAAGGGTTAATCCTAGAGGGACCTGGCACCCAGGCCACTTCATTAAGCTGAAGTGGTCTGGGTGCCTAGAGTGTTCCTTTAAAGTTTATTATAGACCCACGTATATGAGCCACATTACCTCCTTAAAATCACTGACAGGATCTATACAATGGGTGTATATTGAGTCCTGTTTGTTGACGTCTAAGGGAGTAGTACACCTAATTGTGGTTACCTAAAAGTATGAAATCAACATACCTACACATGTTACCATCCACCACTCAGATGCTTAAAGTTTGGGACATAGTTAACCAATCACTATGTAATTTTTCTCCTTTTCCACTAGCCACAGCAATACCTTCCCTATAGATAGGAATACCCAATTTAAATAAATTGTGGATATCAAAGTGCCTCACACATGTATATCAATTATACCATGGTTGTCTTATAATCAATTAAACAGCGTATGCTCCTTTGCAGACTTACAGACTCAATGCCATTTAGAAAACAACATGACATTTTCTTACCTACAAAATAAATCCGTTTTAGCTTCTAACAAAATGAATGCCAACCACAATTGGTTACATCAACCACTTTCTCCCTTCAAAAGGATATGTCTTCAGCTTTGTCACAATAAAAGAATGTTTTCATAGTGCTATAACAATGTAAAAGGAAATGCATCCAAATAAAATTCTAGCTTTAAGGAAGCTTGGCAGAAAGACCTAGATAAGGAGTTTTAATTGGAAAACTGGGAAGTCTCTTTTATCAGCCACAGAGGCCATGCATTGTTTGTCTCCCATCTCAAATTGCAAAGGAAAACCCTCTATACAGGATACCTGGTAAGCTCCAAATTGGCTCACATATATCCAAATTGTCCCTACATTTCTTGGAGGTGCAAAAAGGACGAAAACACTATGGGCCATATATGGTGACTATGCCCAACTCAAAAGCCCTAGTGCAACATGGTCACACAGATCTTGACATCCTTGTTACAAACCAAATCTGTGCCTGCACCAGAAGTATAACTTATTTATGTTGCTGAGTTATATGAATAGATTGTACCTGTAGTGTCAGGTTCTTATTGCTGCCAACACCATGACTGGAAATCTACCAGAATCCTGATGTGTATAGAGGTCTTCCAGCAGATATTCCTAAACTGGAAGTACAAAACAATGGCACACACTCACCAAAACCCGGATAATCTGAAAAGTACCGTACTACAAATGATTTGGGAACGCATTTCTATCTAGACACAATGTAGAGACTGGAGGTATTGAGAATGACTGTTGAAATGAAAAAAACTCTGGTACAGTTGATATATGACAACATTCGATTGCTTTTCCAGAACTCAAACTACAAAAGTATAACAAGGGATATATATGCCTAGAGACAAACCAACACCTAGACATACAGAACACGAAAATGCAAGACAGAACTTGAGAGACTGTGCAGAGAGGGGAGCTTCCACCGTGGAACGTTCCCAGTCACATTACTCCCTCCTTACCCTCCTACTTCTAACTTTTAGCTCTTTTTTTCTTCTATCTGTTTTAAAAATGTAACATAAATGTTGTCAAACCCAGATCAATACCGGTTCAGAAGGTGTGTAGGTAATAAGAGGTTAAAATTAACACCTACCCAATCATGGGTCAAAGTATACAATAACTAGACCAGGGATAGGCAACCTTCGGCACTCCAGATGTTGTGGACTACATCCCCCATAATGCTGGTAAAGCATCATGGGAGGTGTAGTCCAAAACATCTGGAGAGCCGAAGGTTGCCTATGCCTGAACTTGACAATTACAATACTAATGAAACAGAAAATTAACCAGATGACGACTGGAAGTTTTGCCATGCATTAAAGGGACACTACAGTCACCCAGATCACTTTATCTCATTAAAGTCTGGGTGCAGTGTCCCTGTCCATGTTAGTCCTGCAATATAAAACATTGCAGTTTTAGAGAAATTGCAATAATTATCTTGCAGGATTAAGACTGCACTTCCTGGAGGCTTGCAGACTCTGAGTCCCTTAAATTACCCTGGATGTCCTCATGATCTGCATGAGGACATCCAGTTCCAGTGAAATCTCCATACGAAAGCACTGAAGCTCGTATGCGCTTTAAGTCCCCTCCTGTTGGATGAAGTCGGAAAAGGCGAGCGACAACAGAGCACTGAAGGAGATTGGCACTGGAATTGATTGAGTAAATAAAGGGGTTTTAACATTGGGGGAGAGGTGCGAGGGAGGAGGGAACCATAATATAGATTTGTATTTCTAACACTATAGAATCCCTTTAATGTAACCCTATATGATTTATGTATGCATTCATGTTTGACAGCTAAATAAAAATCAATAAAAATTGTCAAACTGAAATATGTCTATTAACCCCTTAAGACCGAAGGGCGTACTATTACGCCCTACTTTTAATAGTACGCCCTCCGTTTTTTTTTTTACTTACCCAGTCGCCGGCGATCGCGGTTGGGGGGGCTCCTAGGGAGCCCCCCGTGGCACATCCAACCTCCTGCAGCCCCCCTGGCCATGTGAGAGTGAGGTCCTTGCGAGGACCTCAGAATCAC